ACATTGTGTGCTCATATCTATCTATACCAACCCTTAACTATAAGGATTTTATATATATACATATATATATATTTGTAAAAATATATTTCCCTCTGAGATTGGTTTCCTTCTACTTTAAACCCCACCAAATGTGGTATGCTACTGTTGGAATATGAGTGGTGTGAGGTATGAGATGTCCAGGATAGGTTCACTCATAGGCTCGGCCCGAGTATGTGGAGAGAGGCTGTGAGCATGGCAGCGGTTGAGTACTGGAGGATTTCAGCAGCTGAGGCTGGGTCCTTTGGGGTGGGGAGGGGCCTCACCCCACCCCGCTCTGGGGTCCCCTGAATGAAACAGCCTTACCCAGGGTCCAGGGGCATGGCTATAGCGAGTCCGGGACTTTTCTATTAAACTTAAATACTGGGCATAGCAATAGTTGCTTTGTTTAGATTTTACAGTACTATGAATCAAACCCATGGCCTCAGCCGAGCAAAGCATGCACTCTTTACAGCTGAGCCGTACTTCCAACCCTTAACTATAAGGATTTTATTATATATATATATATATATATATATATATATATATATATATATAAAGCGGGCTGGAGCGATAGCACAGCAGGTAGGGCAGTTCTAAAGAATACTTAAGAATAACGTGAGGGGAAAGAAAAAGACACTTGTTCAAGAACACAGGCTTTTCTAGTGAAAAACACCTATCTTTAAGTTTTAATTATAAGTGGTGCTCATGAGCCCCAGGGTGCCCTCCCAGCAATTCTTAGCCAACCACCCTGGCAGCTTAATACTAGGACTCAAGGAAATCGTGCTGCTCCAACACTGTGGTGCTGGGGATTACCCAAGGCCACTCTAGGGTTGGGAGCCTCCAGGGCTGCGCCAAGCCTTGCTCAGGTGAATGAGGATCGACAGCAAGCCACCGTGTACTATTCTCCTGCAGTATCTTTCAGGCCATAGCTACAGAGATCCTAATCCAGTAAGAGATCCTTGAATCAGGGAAAGGACATTCATTTTTTTTTTTTTCAAGTCTAAGAAAATAGATACTGGGGCATGAAAGATACTCCATAACTTAGAACAGCATTTCTCAACCTGGGGCCGCATAGCTGTGGGTCCTGTGGGCCCCTAGGGTATTTGTGGGGGGTGGAGAGGAGGGGGTGTGGTGTCACAGACCAGACCAGGGGTCAGCTGGTAGAAGGGTGTCACAGAAAGAAACAGGTCAGATGGAGATCACAGTCGAACAGTGTTGGGAAACACTTCCCTAGAGCCCCACCTGGCAGATGTATTCAGTTCACTGTGCTGGCACACACACTAAGCATGAGCTGGCAGCTCTACTGATTTCCTGGCGCTGCCATTTCCATTCTCACTGAAGCCATGTCGGACCCCTAGCAAATACCACCGGAAGAGCAAGAGCCACAGCGAGGGAGTGAATTCCTGGACAGCACGTTTGTGAGCACCCTGACCAAAACTGAGTGCAAATCCTCGTAGGCATGTGCTGCAGCACTGCAGCTGAAGAAGTGCAAATCAGGGACCCCTGAGCCTTGGTCATGCAGACAGTATCAACAATATAAGGAGGGGAAGAGGTGATAAACAACTTCAAAAGTAAAACCTTCAAGTGGGAACAGACCGGCTTTAAGGATAAAGGACCTGCAGTGCAGATGTCAGGCCATGAGTTCAATCCCTGACACCACTCAACATGCCAAGTGACATTCAGCAGTATTACAGTGGGTGTGATTTACATGTGCAAAAGCACCAGATGATTTGATCCCCAGCTGTTACAACAGTAACAAGAGTGGGAAATTAAAAATATAGTTTATCGCTACTTCAGGAAATAAAAGAGGACATGAGGAAATGGAAAGATATCCCCTGCTCATGGGTCGGGAGACTTAACATTGTCAAAATGGCAATACTACCGAAAGCATTGTATAAATTCAATGCAATCCCTATAAGGATACCCATGACATTCTTCAAAGAAACGGAGCAAACACTCTTGAAATTTATATGGAACAATAAGCCCCCACGAATAGCTAAAGCAATTCTTGGGAAAAAGAAAATGGGAGGAATCAACCTCCCGAACTTCAAACTGTACTACAAAGCAGTAATAATTAAAACAGCATGGTACTGGAACAAAGGCAGAACTGCAGACCAATGGAACAGGGTTGAATACACTGACATCTCTCCTCAATCATATGCTCATCTAATCTTTGATAAAGGTGCAAGTAATGTGAAGTGGAGTAAGGAAAGCCTCTTTAATAAATTGTGTTGGCATCACTGGACGGCTACATGCAAAAAAATAGGCTCAGAACTCTGCCTAACACCATGTACAAAAGTAAGATCAAAATGGATTAAAGACCTCAACATCAGACCAGAAACCATAAGGTACATTGAAGATAAAGTTGGCAAAACCCTCCATGACATTGAAGCTAATGGTATCTTCAAAGATGCCACGCCACTGGCCGAGCAAGTGAAAACAGAGATAGATAAATGGGACTATCTTAAACTAAGAAGCTTCTGCACCTCCAAAGAAACAGTGACCAAAATACAAAGACAGTCTACAGAATGGGAAAGGATATTCACCGAATACACATCTGACAAGGGGTTGATATCCAGGATATACAAAATACTGGTTAAACTCCACAAGAAGAAAACATCCAACCCCATCCAAAAATGGGGCAATGAAATGAACAGAAACTTTCTCAAAGAAGAAATCCGAATGGCAAAAAAGCACATGAGAAAATGCTCTACATCATTAATCATCAGGGAGATGCAGATCAAAACCACAATGAGATACCATCTCACACCTCAGAGACTGGCCCACATTCAAAAGAACAAAAGCAACCGATGCTGGCGTGGATGTGGCGAGAAAGGGACACTCCTTCACTGTTGGTGGGAATGTCCACTGGTTCAGCCCTTCTGGAAAACAGTATGGACGATTCTCAAAAAATTAGAAATTGAGCTCCCATTTGACCCAGCAATACCACTCCTGGGAATATATCCCAGAGAGGCAAAAATGTATAGTCGAAGTGACATCTGCACTTGTTTGTTCATTGCAGCACTCTTTACAATAGCCAGAAACTGGAAGAAACCTGAATGCCCAAGAACAGATGACTGGTTAAAGAAACTTTGGTACATCTACACAATGGAGTACTATGTAGCTCTTAGAAAAGATGAAGTCATGAAATTTACATACAAGTGGTACAATATGGAAAGTATCATGCTAAGCGAAATGAGTCAGAAAGAGAGGGATAGACATAGAAAGATTGCATTCATCTGGGGGATATAAAGTAACAAAATATGAGATTAATACCCAAGAATAGCTGAGATCAGCACCAGGAGGATTACTCCATAACTTAGAGGCCAGCCGGGTATCCTAGAGGAAAGGGCTGTTCAGATAGAGAAGGGAGCACCAAATAAAGGATGTTTGGAGGATCCTCCCAGGAGGGGAGATGCATGTCGAAAGTAGACTATGGACTGAACATGTTTGCCACTCAATGCCTCTTTTGCAGACCACAACACCCAAAAGGAGAGAGAGAACACAGGGGATTGCCCTGCCACAGAGACAGGGGGGATGGGGGGATGGGGGTGGGAGGGATATTATCCATGGTGGTGGAAAATGGGCACTGGTGGAGGGATGGGTATCTGATCACTGTATAATTGAAACCAAAGCACAAAAAATTGTAAATCTACAACTTTAAAAAAAAAAAAAATAAAGGGAAAAAAAAATGTTTGGAAAAATTCGCTAGTAAAAAAAAATATATATATATAGTTTATAACACACACACACACACACACACACACACACACACATACATACACACCTTAGCACCATCAGGAGCAACCTCCATGCATGGTCATAGATGTGGCCCAATCTGGCTGTTACCCCAGCTAGTATAAATGAACAACATGATCATCTACTTGAGTCTATGCTACAAAGAGCAAAAAAGAGAAAACAGCATTTTGGCAGTTATTCAATGTTTTAACGTTTCATCATAAAATTCAATTTACATGTGAAAACTGTATATTGTCTGTACATTACATGAGAAACTATATTACCCAGTTGACTAACTTACTGACCACTGCCTACAGACTGTAACAGACTGTATGTGTACCAATATTTTACATTTAAAAGATTCTCAATATTTACATAACAATTGCTCCCCACAAAAAAGTCAGTATTCAATTCAGCTCACTTTTAGATTCATTATGGATCTTTAGGTCAAAGTACTCAAGGGCCATTCCTTTCAATCCCCAAATCTGCAACCAGCTTTTTCAGAAAAATTATGAAACTGACAAGAAGCTAGAGATAATATAATAAACCACATTTCCTATTTTGAAGGGGAGCCTCTAGAAGAATCCAACAGCACCAGTTCACTGACAGCAATGCTCCTTTTTCTTTTTAACAAAATAGTCCAGGAGTCTCCTTATTTTTAAACACCTCTCATGCCATGAATTCCTAGGGAATGGGCTCCAGCAGCTCAGGCTCCTTTCCACTGGTTCTTACAAAGTGTGCTTCTCTGGGTGGAGCAGGCTGGCGCTTCAGTTGAACCCAAGTCCCTTTCTCTTTGGCTTCCTTCTTTTTCTGACCATTTTCCTTCACCCATTTCAGGAAGTCGTCACGACTCTTAAGAGTGCATAATTACGCTCAATATGAACATAAATTCTCTTGTCAGTATCTTGTCCTTGACTTGTTTGTTAACAACAATGCCAACAGCATTCTGGGTAACACTGTAGACCCTTCCAGTTTTGCCCTGGTAACATCTGTGGGGCATTCTTTTTTGGACAGTGCCCATTCCCTTTATGTCTACAATATCACCTTCCTTGTATAGCTGCATGAATGTCGCCAAAGGAACAACTCCATGCTTTCTAAAAGGTCTACAGAACATGTAGCGGGTACCCCTCCTCATTCCCTTTGTGTTGGTCATTTTTACAATTTACTGGAAGGTGGCAATTCCAGCTGAAAGGACAGACAGCAATGTTCTGACCCTTGTACTCAGGGTACAAGGGTACCCTCGACTCTTGATCCTGGGTCAGTTTTCTGTCTTGGACTTCACAGGAGCCACGTCCTTCGGAATCTTCATCAGTGAATTTAAGCGGACATGTGTTAACATTATCTTCTCTTTCAGCTGAGGAAACACAGTTACCAGGTTTTTTTTTTTTTTTGGTTCCAAGCTTGCAAGCAGTGCTCAGGGAGGCTGGGGGAAGGGAAGGGAAGGATTGGGGGGTAATGCCCACAGGTGATTCACAGCCAACCAGGCCAGAGCCTAAGGGTACAACACTGCTTGGCCCTGCAGTGCCAAAGGTGATACAGGTAATCCCAACAGTGCCTGGGGCCTCCAAGGCTGCACCCAGCATTGCTCACCCCACAGAGTACCAGAGCCCCAGCCTGTGCCTAGCACACACTTTTCTAAGCCACACCCAGCATAGCTTGTGCTGGGGATTGGGAGGGCTATGCAGTGCTGGGGATGGAACCCAGGCTATGGGCTCAGCTCACTGAGTTCTCTCCATCCCAGAGATAGATGGATAATTTGCACTCTGGATAATGCCCTGGATATTAATTACATGTGCTCATCCCACCCTGCCACCATGGTTTGCCTGTCTGTCCAGGGAGCTGGCTAGATTATTCTCCAGAGGTCTTTCTCCTTCCCTGTGCAGCAGGTGTCACTCCTCAGAGGACACAGCATTGGACACATGGTCACAAGGATCTACTCACCACCATTCTGGAAGTGATGGAGAATGGAAGTGCGGAGAAAGTCAGACCTGGGCTGGCTACTCTCCACTTCCTCCAAATTAGTCCTCACACAATGGCTTTCAAATAAGAAACACCAAAAACGTACTGGAGCAGTAATAGTACAGAGGGTAGATAGAGCAGTTGTCTTGCATGTGGGTGACCTGAATTCCATCCATCCCTTCCCTAGAACTGCCATAAGTGATCCCTGAGTGCAGAGCCACGATTAACCCCTGGGCACCACTGGATGTGACCCAAAACAATAACCAAAAAAAGCCAAGTCAGGCATAGGGAATTACAAAAGTACTCCACCAATTCTATCAGCCCCAGTTAATGAGTGCAGTTCCCCGCACTGCTTGTGTTCAGGGAAACACATGGTACCACTCAGTCTCACCTCCAACACCTTCTCTTCGAGAGGGACGTTGTAAATCTCCATCTTGGACACAGGCACTATGGCTTTTGTTGACAAGAGATAGCTGGGTAGAAAACCAGGAGAACACCTTACCAACACACCTCAGTCAGATTTACCTAGAAACTCAGGGTATCTCCAGTGCTTATAACACAGACAACCTTCTTACTAATGTTCATTTTCTAATATATTTTAGAGAAAAAACAAAATTGTCTTTCTTGGACAGAGTGTGGGAGGGTAGGGCTGGGTTTAGGGGCTACACCCTGTGATGCTTAAGGTTTACTCTTGGCTGTTCTCAGAAGTCGCTCCTGGCAGTGTTTCTGGGACCATATGTAGTGCTGGAGATTGAACTAGGGTTGGCTGTATACAGTGAGTACCTTAATGCCTGGACTATATCTCTAGCCCCAAAGAAACCAAATTTTCAATTAGGAAATCATCAGAGAGGCTCGTACCTCCTCCCACCCCTTGCCTGCTAAGAATACAAGAAATTCACTGATCAAAAGACAAAAACCAAGGCCATAGAACAATGATAGTGGGGCTGGAGTGATAACACAGTGGGTAAGGTGTTTGCCTTGCACGCGGCCAACCTGGTTCAATTCCCAGCATCCCATATGGTCCCCCAAGCACCACTAGGAGTGATTCCCGAGTGCAGAGCCAGGAGTAACCTGAGTATCACTGGGTGTGACCCAAAAAAAAAAAAAAAAGAAGAAGAAGAATCAGTGAGTATGTGTCACTTCTCAGTAGGAGATTGTATATCATGAGAAAACCCGCGGGAACAGTGCCACTGGCTGCCTGTTCTGCAGCCATCCGGCACCTTTCTTTCAGAACACAGGTTTTGTTGAGAACAGCAAGTGCTTAGTTGAAAAGGTGGGATCATGACTGTGCCAACACAAATTTAGAAGGCCTGGGATGCAGCTTTGAGGTACTGCACTTGCCTTGCATGTAGGAGGCCAAGTTTGATCCCCAGAACCCATTAAGGAAAAAAAAAGTGAACCCTAGGCATACTTTGCAATTTTATAGTCCATCTCACTTACTTTACTTTCCAGCCTTCCTTAAGAAATCATATGAAGCTGTCATGATTGGGGACACTGACTATTTGGGATGTAACTACCCTATACTGATAGATTTTGTTCCCCAGCTTCAGCACCAGTAACATCTATCAATGACCTAATCTCTGGATGGTGACTCCAGATTCCCAAGGCACAGTCTGGCTAAGTTTGGGTCAGGGACCATTCCTAAGCCCAACGGCGGGAGCCGTAACACAAGGAATCACATAGAGACAGAGCTGGAGCAATAGTACAGCAGGTAGGGCATCTTGTCTTGCATGGGGTCAACCCAGGTTCGATAACCCCCGATAATCTCTGGCATCCCATATAGTCCCCCAAGTAGTACCGCCAGGAGTAACCCCTGAGCATCACTGGGTGTGGCCCAAAAAGCCCCCCCCCCCGCCCCGCCACCCCAAATAAAAGGAATCACTGGGGGGGGGGGGGGATGAGGGAGAACACAAGATTACAGGGAAGCTGGAAGCAAGCACAAATTCCAAAAGTGTAGGTTATATTCTTTACAAAAGTTTTCCTTCTGTGAGTTTTGAGTGAAAAAAGGTACATTCAATTGTTCAATGGTAAGACTGTCATGATCTGAAATGATCATAATGTTATGAGATGTTATTTTGGTCCCACTCCCATTTTTCTTTTTTTGGAGAGGGATTAGGGGGGATATGCCAAGAATCAAATCCAGAGTCTCATTCCTACCATTCAAGAGCTGAACCACATCCCCAGGCCTTCTGTTTAGATACAGGGCAGTACCTGTCATCTTCACTGGTCAGACATGGTGACCATTTTCCAGAAGAGATACAGAGAAATGCCAGAAGAATCTACATGTTGGGCATATAAATACTCCACACTCCCAGCATTCTGGAAGATCTGTTAAACTTTCATAGCACATCTAAGTCTACTCACCACACCATTTTGTCACTGGAAAGGCAAAAGTGGCCTCTTAAGGCAGCCATGGCAGCATGGGTTGAATATAGATGAAAACCAACAGGAACTTCACAGGAACAACAGAGTAAAAGGTTGTACGTGCTGTAGATGGGGTATAGAACACAGGCAAGGATCAAGCACATCAGAAAACACGCAAAATAACCAGTAGCTGAATCATTCCTAACAACTATGCTACAACAGAAATGAGACTAAGAAAAGTTTTATTTAAGAAAGGTTAAAATTGGGGCCAGAGCAAAGATAGTATAGTGGGTAGGGCGTTTGTCTTGCATGAGGCAGACCTGGGTTCGACCCCAGCATGCCATTTGGTCCCCAGAGCACCGCCAGGAGTAATTTCTGAGTGCAGAACCAGGAGTAATCCCTGAGCACATCGCTGGGTGTAAGCCCCCCCCCAAAAAGGTTAACACATATTGATAAAGTTATATCCTAGCTTATAGATCCACTGTGGTGTCCGGTCACAAAAAAAAAAAATCAAAAATGTGTAACTGGGGCTAGAGCGATGGCATAGCGGGTAAGGCGTTTGCCTTGCACACAGCCGACCTGGGTTCAATCCCCGGCATCCCATATGGTCCCCCAAGCACCGCCAGGAGTAATTCCTGAGTGCAGAGCCAGGAATAACCCCTGAGCATAGCTGGTTGTGACCCAAAAAGAAAAAAAGAAAAGTAACTGCGGATGCAAAACCAAAAAAAGAGTTGAACAGAGGTTAGAGAGATAGTAAGGTGGGTAAGATGCTTGCTTTGCAGACACCCCACATGGTCTCGCGAGCACTGCCAGGGTTGATCCCTGAGTGCAGAGCTAAGTAAGAGTAACTTCTGAGCATCACCGGATGTGCCCTCCCGCCCCCTCAAAAACAAAAAAAAGAGTCCAACACGGAGAAGGAGCAGTCTTCAACTACAACGACTGCACCGCAAACATCCTCATCTTCTAGCACAGGTTAGAAACTGTCGTTCCCACGCCCCTGGGTCTCCAGCAGTCGGGAAAGAGTGCGCGTACCTGCCTTTGAGCAAGCCATCAATGCCCACTAGAAAAGGCTCTTCCAAAACCACGTTGTTGGTGACTCCTAGGAAGACAGACGCCGGTCAGCGCAGCCCACCCGGGAAGGAGGCCGGCAGAGGGAAGGCCAGCACCCTCCGGAAGAGGCCCGTGCCCGCCACGGAAAATCACGGAAAGCCGCCTTCCAATCAAAGGGGAGAGTCCTGGCAAACCTTCACCCCTCGTCTGCCCCGCCACCACTCACTGGAGAAGACCACCGCGCCCAGAGTGGCAGTCAGGTTCCAGGCGAGGTGCACCGAGTCGGCGAGCACCGCGTGGCAGCGCGCGCACTGGAACACCGCGCACCGCTGGGGCTGCAGCCACCAGTGCAGCCGCGCGCCGGGGGGCGGCTCCTCGGGCTTCGGCCTCGCGGGGCCGAGCAGCGACGACCCTTTCACCACCTGGGTGTCCCATTCCATGGAAGTCGTCAAAGAGGGTTCATCGCCCGCCTTCTGAGCGCCGTCACTCCAGCCACCCCACGACGACGGCGGCGGGGCCCGGCGAGAGCGCAGGTGCCGGGGCGGAACGGCCATCTTCCGGCCGCCCGCCGCGCACTTTCGAAGGCCGCAGGCCCCGCCCCTCCGCCCAGGGAGGCGGGGCGGCGCGTGCGCGTGACTGGGGGCGAGGCTGCCTGCTCCTGATTGGAGGGAAACCAGGCTTTCCTATTGGCCAACGTCCCGAAAGCGACACTTTGGACCAATAGAAGCGTAGCATTCTCAATTTAAACTCTCTTAAAAAAAAATTCCGGCCGGGTAAACGCTTACGGTGGCGGTGGAGTTTTGAACCGCGGCGCGCTTCTGCGGCTGGCGCGGCTGTTCTTTCCAGGTCGACTGCATTGCAGAACATGATGACTGTCCCTTCGCTGGAGGAACTGGAGTCCTTCAAATACAGTGACCTGCAGAACCTGGCCAAGAGTCTGGGCCTCCGGGCCAACCAGAGGGTATGGCCTATGGGTGGTGGACGGTCGCGGGCGGAGGTGAATCTTCAGCTTGCAGTAGACGCGGGGCGGGGTCAGGGAGGAGGCAGCGGCCACCCCGGCGTGAGGCTGGGCTGGTAGATTTGTTTCACAGAGGGTCTTTCTAGCTGCAACACAAAAAGAGATCCTGTTTTTGCCTTGTTTTGAGGTTGATCTTTCAGGATCTCTGAAGGATGAATGTGGACTGTTTTAATTGAAAATACTCTGATATTTTTCTGGGCATTAACTAGTGAACGCAGCCCCAGCAAAACGAAGTAATTACAGCAAAATTGTAATGCCAGTAGTCGGGCAATTAAGGAAAGAATTCTTTGGCTTCTGGAAAACTCCAAACAGTAGTACTTGCAAATCTTACCAGTGTCCAAAATCTCTTCCTACTTTATTAGGGACCTAAAGAAAGAATGTAAAAGTCCACCCTCGTAGGTAAAATGGCATAATTTAGTCGTGATTTCAGTATGACCTTTATTTGCAATGATGTTGTTTCAATAATGGTAAGGTCTTTGACTCCGAAACTGCAGAATTTTGAGAGAATTGCGGAGATTCATTTTGGAAGTGTTTTACTTTTATTTTTGTTTGATTTGGGGGCCACACCCTTTGATGCTCGGGTGGTACTTGGGGGGCCATTGAACCAAGGGTTCATCTACAGATTGATATTTACGCTGACTTATGTTTAAATTAGTCATCATGTGTTTTTTTAAATGGCTTAAAATGTGTTCAAGTACCCCTTTCAGCGGAATGATAGGATGCTCTTGAAGTTATTTCTGATTTGAATCGTTTGTTTTGCTTCTTTTTTGTTTTGTTGTTTGTCTTGATTTTGGGGTCACACCTTGATGTGCTAGAAGCTACCACCTCACTCAGCTCAGGGGCCTCCCAGTGGTGCTCTCGAGACCATTGCAAGGAATGTTCCTTAACCCTCTGAATTGGTTGTTTTTGTTTTTACTTAATTTTCCTTTTTTGTTGTTGTTTTGGTTTGGGTTTTTTGGCCCATACCCAGCAATACTGAAGTCTTACTCCTGGCATAACTGCAGTGATCTGCATTCAGGGATCACTGAAGGGGCTCAGGTGCCGGGCATCTAGCCTGGATCATTCACCTGCAAGACAAGTGCCCTACTCACTGTGCTATAATTCCAGTTCTCTTTTACTTGTTTTTACTTTTTATTGGGCTTCGGGGGGGGGGGGGGGGGTGGAGTGTGCCTTTACATTTGATTGATTGTAGTGCTTGCATCTTCAGTTGTGTTTTCACACACGCTCACTAGGGCCACAGCTTTTAGTTGTGCTAGTGCACTCTCTGAGAGGGGGACCAGACCTAGTGCTGTAGGAATGGCCCTCCAAGAACTTGGAATGTGCTGGGGGATTGAACACTGCCCCCGATTTGCTTTGCCAGTGAGCTCCTCCCACCCACCCTTTTAGTTTTTATAGCATTAAAAACATACCACATTTTATGTAAGATATCCTGTATGATTATTCAGAATTATAATGTACAACTACCCCATCCCAGTACTAGAATAATGTACCAGAGAATTACAGTGGAAATTTCCTTAGTTCACAGCTCTGAGTGATAATAAGGCCCCAGAACTGCTTAGAATAGATCTCTAAAAAATTAGTACAAGGTAGGGTTTTTTTGTTTTGTTTTTTTTTTAGGGTTGGGGTTGGGGACTTGGGCTCACTCCTGTGTTCAGGGCTGACTCCTGGCTCTGTGTTCTGGGATCTGTCCACGCAGGACTCTCCAGCCCCAAAAGCACCACCCATCATTATTGAGGCATCTGATCTGGAGTTCTAATTAATCACCTACCTGTATTTATAGAAGCAGCGTAGTATATAGATCTCCCAGTCTTTACATATGCTGTGTCTACACAGCATAGTATCTGACACACGGCTGGTGCAGAGGGCCAAGGAGATGGCTTGGTGAGCTGGAGTTTATGCTTTGCAGCAGGAGCAGTTGGACCCTGAGCACCACCAGAAGTGATAGGAATAACCCCTGACCCCCACCTGCTGTGACCCAAAAGCAAATAAACAAAAAAAAAAAAATGTGTTGAGAAGCATGTTTCTCAAATAAATTTGACCCATGTAACCAATTATATAGAAAAACAATGAGAGGACGCCAGAGTGATAGAACAGGGGTCAAAGTACTTGCACATTGCCACCCAGTTCAATCTCCAGCACCCAAAACAAAGATAAAAACAGGGAGATGGCTCCCAACGGACTAGTGCACATGCTTGATACGGGGGCACCCCACCGGTTTCATTCCCAGTAATAACATGGTTCCCTGCGCACAGCCAGGAACATCCACCCAAAATCCCACAACAAAATGAAAGGGGCAGGAGCCATAGTACATTGGATAAGGGCACTTGCCTTGCATGAAGCAGACCTAGGTGTGATCGTGGCACCACATAGTCTCCCAAACACTGCCAGGTGTGGTCAAACCCAACACCATCCCCCAGAAAAAGTTAACAAAATTAAATTGCAATAAGCAATTTAGTAAGAGGACCAGGCTGGTGGGCATGCTTTGCATGTGGGAGTCCTGGGTTCGATCCCTGGTGCCACATGGTTCCCAGAGTACCACCGGGCATAGCCCTAAAACAAAAGTTGCAACAGTTGGATCACAGTCAAGATAAATTTAGAAGACAAGATGTTCTTTTTTTTTTTTTTAAAGACTACCCTAAGGGGCTGGAGAGATAGCACAGCTTGCCTTGCACGCAGCTGACCCAGGTTCGATTCCCAGCATCCCATATGATCCCCAGAGCACTGCCAGGAGTGATTCCTGAGTGCAGAGCCAGGAAGGGTGTGATCCAGAAAGCAAAAAAAAAAAAGACTACCCTAAGAGAAAGACAAAAATGAAGGAATCAAGTTACAATATTTACTGTAGGATTGATGAAAGGGGCCTTTATTTCCTCCCTTCTTCCCTCCCTTACTGTAAGGGGACACTGGCACTATTTTCACTTTCTTGCCTGCCCCTCCCTCCCTGGCAACATTCCAAGTCTGATTCCAAGACTAGCCAAAAACCCCAGCCCCACCTGTACCCACCCAGCTGCAGGAAATCACTGCCTGCTGTTGGCTGAGCTTCGTTTCAGCCCAGGACCATGAATCGTAGCGAGCATCTGTCTGATTCTCCTACATTCCCTGGGTTATTCACTTTCCTGTCTTTGAGCAGATGGTTCTAGGCTTCTCAGATTGTCTTCCTTCTCTCCTGAACTGTGGACGCCATCAGCTGCCAGTGGCTGTGAAGGCCCGGTGCCTGCTTCTGCCTGAGAGAATCAGAGGCTGTGTCTGAGGCCCACCCACCCCCTTTCTCCAAGGCCCTAGTTAGTGCTAGAGCCACTGTCGCTTCTGCAGTTCACTCCTCTTCTTCCGGGTTCACTTGTCTTCTGCTGGCTTATTTCCCTTATGCATTCCATCAAGACTTCTGCTGCTGCTGGGGTCACACTGAATAAGGGGGTTCCGTGCCAGAGATGAAAATCAGGACCATATATTTGAACTGTATGTGTGCTCTATCCCTGAACCACACTCCTGTGCCCATGAAAGCAAGTCTGAGTATCATTCTTTTTTACAAAAATCAACCAATCCTGGGGGCTGGAGCAATAGCACAGCGGGTAGGGCGTTTGCCTTGCATGCAGCTGACCCGGGTTCGATTCCCAGCATCCCATATGGTCCCCCGAGCACCGCCAGGAGTGATTCCTGAGTGCAAAGCCAGGAGTAACCCCTGAGCATCGCCGGGTGTGACCCAAAAATGAAAAAGAAAAATCAACCAATCCTTCCCGTGCCCCCATGTCTTTGTCAACTGCCGGTTCTGTTCTTTCCATCAGTACTGGCTCTCTCTGCCCCTCCCCCCCATCTTGCTGCCCTGCTGCAGTGGGCAGAATTGAGAGCTCAGACCACTTTGCCTCCCCACACTGCTTTGATATTAGTTCTTTCCTATTGTTCTTGGTCATCTTTCTAGTCTCCTTTGCTGGTTCTTTACCAAACCTCTAGAAGTGGGTGCCCAGCACTCTCACCTTGGGCTCTCAAACGGTGCTTTCTCCCTGCTGATCCTTTTGTTGTTACTGTTTTGGGACCACACTGATGATGGGACTTACTCCTTACTCTGTGCTTCTAGTTCACTCTGGGATGCTGGGATCGAAGGAGTCAGCTGCATGCAAGACAAGCACCCTACCTACTGTGCTATCACTCTGGGCCCAGTGCTCAGGGCTTACTCTTGGCTCTGCATTCAGGGATCACTCCTGGATTTACTTACTCAGGAGACCATATGGGATGCTGGGAGTCAAACCAAGACTGGCTGCATGCAAAGGCATGTGCCCTACCTGCTGTCTCTCATTTCATTCATGCATTCATCATCCTGTTATTCGTCGATTGCCTCGAGCAGGCCCCAGTAACGTCTCTTTCATCCTAGCCCTGAGATTATATTCAAGGCTCTTTAGGAGAATGAGACCCATCATTGTTACTGGTATTTGGCATATTTGGTACGCCAAGGGGAGTTTGCCAGACTGCCCTGTGGGCAGGCTACATTCGATAGCCTGCAAGTTTGTCCAAAGTAGGAATGAGATAATAAGATGTCATAAAAAGATGTCTCTCATACCCAGTTGTTTTTGTTTTGAAGTCATACCCAACAGTGCTCAGGTCTTAGTCCTGGCTCTACTCTGGGATCGCTCCAGGTGGGGTTCAGAAAACCATAGGGGGTACTGAGGATCGAACCTAAGTTAGCTATGTGCAGGGTACGTGCCTTACCCACTATACTGTACTATGCTGTACTCTAATCTATTCCCTATCACTGTCCTCCCGTTGTTCATCGATTTGCTCAAGTGGGCCCAGTAACGTCTCCATCGTGAGACTTCTTGCTACTGTGTTTGGCATATTGAATATGTCATGGGTAACTTGCCAGGCTTTGCCCTGCAGGCTAGATACTCTCGGTAGCTTGCCCGGCTCTCCAAGAGGGGCGAAGGAATCGAACCCGGCCTGGCCGGGCCAGCTGCACGCAAGGCAAACGCCCTACCATTGTGCTATAGCTCCAGCCCCAATCTATTCCCATCATTTTAAATTCATGTGGAACCAATCATTCCCAAATCCTCAGGACCTTGCCCCACACTAATGACGCCTACATTTAAGTGACTCTTAATAAGCAGAATCTGGCATAACATTAAGATCTCTTCCTTTCCTGGTTAATGGTTAGTGGTTCTGCCCATTTTAGATCCTTTGCCCCCTCTCTCCTTATCAGGCTATCCCCTAAAGAAGCCTAAAGTCTGTCCTCAGCACCCTCCTCAACAGTGCTCTGTAATCTCTTCACACCTAATCTCCTTACTTTATCTGTTCATATTATTTGAAGAATTATTTGAAACTTAGAATGTGCCATCTTTCTTCTCAGTACTCTCTTCCCATTTAAAATAACGTCTATGGGCCTGGGAGTAAATTAATTGAGACTGCATGAGAGTTAAGTTGCATGCTCTGCATGTGGAGGGACCAGGTTCAGCTCCTTAGCACTACATGTTCCTCAAACCCCTGCTAGTAAGAGCCCCTGAGCCACTACCAAGTGTGGCTCTTCACCCCGCAAAAATTACAAAAATAAGCGTATAAAACCTGGGGTCCCAGGAATGAGTCTGGTGAGAAATGCTGCCTGGCAGTTGTAAGGCTGGAGTTGCCTTCCTAGAGCAGCCCTATTGCTTGAGACCCACTAGCACGGAGGCAGAGAGTACAGTCTCCCTCCAGAGCACAGCTTCCTGTGCATGCAAGCTGCGACCAGGAAGGATGTAAGAGCCCCCAGAGTGTGTGGAGAACACTACAAGTGCGTCCCCTACAAGCACCACAGCCAGGCTTGTGCACACTCCCCAGGAAGGGGGGAGTAAACTAATTGAGTTAAAAAGATGGGGGGGGGGCCTGAAGCAATAGTACATGTCCGACCCGTGTTCAATCCCCAGCATGCCATATGGTTTCCTGAGCACTGCCAGGAGTGACCCCTGAGCACTGTTGGGTGTGACCCAAAAAGACAAAAAAAAAAAAGGATCAGAGGAAAGGTAGTACATTTGGCCAACCCCGGTTCAATCCCCAACACTGCATGATCTCAAAGTACCACCAGGAGTGGCTCCTGAACACCCCTGGCTATGACCCAATCTTCCCAGCACATAAAAGGATAAAGTAAAAATCCATTCTCCAAGTATAATATGAGATATTTGGTTTGATCCCGAATTGGAAGAAATAAACAGCTAAAGTTAGAGATAGTCAAGGAAATTGGATATAAGGGCTACATATCAGAATGATAAGAAATCTTTGCTTTCCCATGGGAAAAGGTTAGAGATTATGTAAGAAAATATACCCTTTCAGATGATATGCCTGGCATATTTAGTACTAAAGCATCATGACGCCAGGATCTTATTTTCACAAATTTTGTTTTTTCAGGGCCACACGTGGGAGAGCTCAGGGTCACTCCCGGTTCAGGAGAATGCAATGCTGGGCATCAACCTTGGCCTCAGCAAGTAGGGCCTTTGCCTTGCATATGGCCAGGTTCTATCCCTGGCATCCCATATGGTCCCCGAAGCACCTCCAGGAGTAATTCTGATGCAGAACCAGGAGTAACCCCTGAGCGTTTCTGGGTGTGACACTTCCCCCCAAAAAAGAGTAAACCTGGGCCTCCTGTGTGCAACACATGTGCTCAGCCTTCTGAGCTTCCTCCCCAGTCTATTAATTTAAAATAATTTTGTGTGAAGTACATATCAATAGAGAATGTATTGTTTAATCTACTAGTTGTTTAATCTAAAGGCACATATAAGAGTGTTTGTGGACAAAATTTTGGGGGCTGGAGTGATAGTACAGCGATAGGGCGTTTGCCTTCTGTGCAGCCAGCTCAGCTGAGCCGGGTTTGGTACCTTCGCCCCTCTTGGAGAGTCCCGCAAACTTCCGAGAGTGTCTCACCCACACAGCAAAGCCTGGCAAGCTCCCCGTGACATATTCAGTATGCCAGACACAGAAACAACAAGTCTCACAATGGAGACGTTACTGGGCCCACTCGAGCAAATCGATGAGCAACGGGAGGACAGTGGCAGTTGACAAATTTCAACTTTATTTTTTGTTGTTTCTGGGCTCACTCCTGGCAGGGCCTGGGGAACCCTCTGAAGTGCTGGTGACTGAACTAGAGTCAGCTGCATCCAAGACAAGCTCCTTACCCGCTGTACTATGTCTCCAGCTCCTGTTCAGTGTCTCTTTATTATTTGGTTTTTGGTTGTACTGAGAGGTTCTTTAACTCCCCTGCAGGCAGACAAGTTGTTAAAAGCCTTGAGAGCCCACCTGGAACAAGAAATAAGAAAGGAAAAAAAGAATCAGGTAAGTAACTTTTTTAAAATTTTATTTTCATAAGATTGTTCACATTAACTGATTACATTCAATATTTCAACACCAATCCTACCACCATTATTCTTTCCCACCACCATTCAAGCCTGCCTGCCACAGGCAGATTCTAGATAATTTGTTTTCTATTGATTATTATGAATATCATTAAAGGTCTCGTGGCTCCTGGAATTCTAAATATGTAAATGATTGGGGTCCAGAGACAACTTTGTAAGGAGCTACTCCATTTTGAGATTCATTTGTGAGTCTCTGGATCAAAGCCTGTGGTGCACTTCTTTTTTCTTTTTTTTTTTTTAATTTTTATTAGTGAAACACCATGAGGTACAGTTGTAGACTTACAGATTTTTGTGCTTGGGTTTCAGTTATACAATGATCAAAAAATATGGAACGCTTCACGAATTTGCGTGTCATCCTTGTGGAGGGGCCATGCTAATCTTATCTGTATCGTTCCAATTTTAGTATATGTGCTGCCGAAGTGAGCACAGCCTCTGGCCCAGAGGCAGCTTGTGGGCATGACTGCCAGGACCCCAAAGGGGCAGGGAGATGGGAAGGGATGAACATCTCCTCTGCCATGTGGCCTGGCGTCTTCAGTGCCTGTTTCAGCATACCTGGGTTTTTCTTCTGGAAGTTTGTGGCCACCGGGGTTCATCTGAAGTGGGTGGAGCTGAGACAGCCCCATCTGAGGAGTCCTGGTGAAATCGGATTGGCTTGGGTCCGGGGAGATCTCCGGAGAGCTGCCGTCTTCCAGGTTTCACTGCTGCGTCTTGTAACTTTTTAAAATCACCTATTAACTATAAATAGCAAAGCAATCATATTTTATTAATGTTAAGAATAAGTACCTGGTAACTTAAGAGGAGCTATTTTGCTGATTGATTTATATTAGTTATTGGGTTGGGGCTGGAGCGATAGCACAGCTGTAGGGCGTTTGCCTTGCACACAGCCAACATGGCCGACCCGAGTTCGATTCCTCCGCCCCTCTTGGAGAGCCCGGCAAGCTACCAAGAGTATCTCGCCTGCATGGCAGAGCCTGGCAAGCTCCCCGTGATGTATTCGATATGCCAAACGCAGTAACAACAAAGTCTCCAATGGAGACATTACTGGGCCCGCTCAAGCAAATCGATGAACAACGGGAGGGCCTTTATGGCTGTTCTCAGGGCTTACTCCCGGTTCTGTGCTCAGGATCACTCCTGGTGGGGCTTAGGAGACCAAAAATATTGCCTGGGATTGATCTGGGGTCGGCTGCATGAAAAGCAAGAAATACTTAAGAATTTTTTTCTACCAAAGACATCATGATTGGTAACAATAAATCTTTTTATGATAATTGTTCCTTATAATGGTGTACCTGCTCATGGCAAGTCATCTCTTGGATAAGATGCCCTCACTCAGAGGTTACTTGGTCACTGGGATTGTTGAGATGGTTGAAGGGGGAGGAAACTACAAAAATAAAAGTCCTTGATTCTTATCTATTCTATTTGTTTTGGGGTCACACCCAGTAGTGCTCTGGGGTTAACCATATGGGATGCCAGGGATAGAATCCAGGTTGACCAGGTGCAAGGCAAATGCCCTACCTACTGTATTATAACTCTGGCCCATCCAGTCTCTTTCTTTGTGCTTTTACATTCAGCTTTTTTTTTCTTTTTTTTTTTTTTGGTCACACTCAACAATACTCGGATTACTCCTGCATCAGGAATTATGTTCAGGGGCTGGAGCAATAGCACAGCGGGTAGGGCATTTGCCTTGCACGCGGCCAACCAGGGTTCAATTCCCAGCATCTCATATGGTCCCCTGAGCACCGCCAGGGGTAATTCCTGAGTGCAGAGCCAGGAGTAACCCCTGCGCATCGCCGGGTGTGACCCAAAAAGCCAAAGGGGAAAAAAAAGGAATTATGCTCAGGAATTACTCCTCAGTCCTCAGGGGACCATGTGGAATACCTGGGATCAGATCCGAGTTGGCCACAGGCAAGGCAGATGTCCTACCCGCTATACTATCATTCCAGCCTCTACACTTGGCATATTTATTTTAAACTGTGACTCTCAACTCAAGATGTACAGGGAGAACTTTAAAAAATATTACTATATTGGCAACCCAATCCCATGTCCTGGTCACCTTCAGCGGTAGGATCCAGACACCATAGTGAAACAATTGAAAAGTTACCACATAGCCAGGTGCTTCCCCCTCTTCATGCACAGAGTAGCAGGCTTCTGCTGCCATTTTCGGATTGACAGGTTAGACTAGGGGTGCACCTCAGTTTAGAGCACTGTCTACCCTGGGTGACATCGTGGGCACTGGGGGGAAATAAGGGGCTGGAAAGATAGCCTCATACTCACAGCGGGTAGGGTGTTTGCCTTGCACGTGGCTGACCTGGGTTCGATTCCCAGCATCCCATATGGTCTCCCGAGCACCGCCAGGAGTAATTCCTGAGTGCAGAGTTAGGAGTAACCACTGTGCATCGCCGGGTGTGACCCCCCCCCCCAAAAAAAATGAAAAACAATAACAACAGCAACAAAAAGATAGCCCCATAGACTAAGAGTACACTTTGCATTGGAGGGGGGCCCTGGTTTGATTCCTACCACTGTAGAGTGCATGGTTCATAAGCTAGGAGTAGGCCCCCTACCATCACCAGGTATAGACCAAAACAAAAATTTTTTAAAAATAAATACCTAACTAAAAAGAAAAGATAATGTCCCTCAGAAGGCCTTCCTCCCACTCGTGATTATATATTCACTCATTTTTTTGTTTCTAGCACTTCTATATTTAAATCTTCAATCTATCTAGATTTTATCTTGGTGTGAGAGAATGATCATTTCATCACCTCCCCCTCACCAAATATATTTTAAAAGAGTTAATTTGAGTTCTCAGCCTTATGTATGAATAAGTAATCTACCCATCCCCACTGCCATGACATATGATGATCGCTTCTCTAGGATGTTCGGGTACCTGTACCCATTTTATGATCTTTTCGTTTAAGACAGTTCAGTCTTACACAGCACCTTATTTTGATTGACAAGTTACTTTCGATTCTCTCAGCCTCAATTTTGTCATCTGTGAACTGGGGTTAGTATCAATATTTGTCTTATAGACTTTGAGGAATAAGTGAAATAATTTGTGTAAATACCTAGCCCAGTAAAGTTGTAATAATAGCTGTATTTATGCATAGTGCATAATGTATGTTCAATCCAATAATGTACTTCTAAGATAATCTGAATGCTTTCTTAGTCTATTGTTTTAACTTAGATTATCACATCTTATTGTCTCTTATTTTGTTTGGAGGCCATAGCAGGCAGTGTCAGGGCTTACTTTTGGCTCTGCACCAAGGGATCACTCTGGTGATGCTCAGGGGACCATATATGGTGCCAGGGATCAAACCCAGGTCAGCCTCATGTAAAGCAAGTGCCCAACCCTCTGTACTATCGCTCCCGCCCATTTCTTTTTCAATGGTCAGTTTTTGTCTTTGTCTCTGATTCTTTGCTAGATCATTCTCTTTTTTTTTTTTTTTTTTTTTTTTGTCCTCCCAATCAGAAGGCCCTGGGACCCTGCTTGATGAGTTGTAACCAGTTCGGTGCAAGAGCCTGAGGATTCAGTGCTGCTCAGGCCCTGCTGTGCCAGGGATTACATAGATAATCCCAGGATTCTTAGGGGTCTTCAGAGCTACACTTTGCAATGCCGGGGTTGGGGCACAGGGGACCATATGGTAATAGGAATTGGACCTAGATGCACCCTAACCACTGCACTATCTCCTTGTCTCACTACTGAAACATTTTTGTTTGCTTTTGTTTTGGGGCCGTACCCAGCAGTGTCAGGGGATACTCCTAGCAGTAATTGGGGGACTATATGCTGGGCATTGAGCAGCTGCATACTAGGCAAGCACCCTACCTGCTATACTATACCCTGGGCCCCTAGGCAATTTTAAGTGATATTTTGATGTGTCTGGATATTATTCAGATTACCTCTGCCTCATTCTAAGTATCTTAACTGCACACATGGGACAGATTGACGTCTCTCTTTTCAGGATGAAAGTCAGACTCCAGCAGTCTCTTGCGAAGAGATGCAGGTACAGATCGGGGCTCAGGAACAGACAGAGAGGGAGCCGGCAGGCCACATCACCAAAACCAAGAGAAGAAGGAGGACTCTCTACATCCCCCCTGACCCACAGGTGATGCGGGGTGCAACTGAGCATCGCCCACTGGTGCTAAGCCCCTCAGAGTCTGCTCAGTGCCCGCTGTGCCATTGGCTCCATGTGTGACGCTGCTGCTGTGTGTCTTGACCGCTAGTGGGTGTCAGGAGAGGACCAAGTCTGCCACTCGGAAACCACCATTCGCCTCCTTTCCTTCTCTAGTCCTTTCCCCCTCAGTTTCCAATCTGTTTTTGGAAATCAGTGATTACTTCTCATTCATCACTTAAGTCATTTGTTTCCTTTTCATATCTGCAGCAGGATATTTCAGAGACGAAAACAAATGATCCCACCGGATGTCCGAGTCCGAATCCAGAAGAGCCGGGAGACCTGGGGCTCAGCACTGTTGTGAAGACTACTCCCCCATACCAGACGTGCAGGGAGGAGAATGTTGTGGCCTCAGGGAAAGGAGGAATAGCAGGTAGCCCCAGAGCTGAAGAGAAATTCTGAGTTGGGGGTTGCTGGAGCCTTCTGTGTCTGCCACTCCTCACTCTTGGGCCAGGGCCCCCTCATTGGATGCTCGGGCAGGGCCATTTCGGTTCAGCCTCTCATCAGCATGGAGCTGCCTCTCTATAATGGCCTGTATTCCCCTGTGGGGCTCACCAGTCTCTTCCTCATCTGTCATCGCAAAGGAACCCCAGTTCAATTACATTAGGTTAGGGACCACCCTCCTGACTTCTTAATAGGATTCTCTATAAAAACCGCATTTCTAGGGGTCAGAGAGATAGTGCAGCAGATAAGGTGCATGTGTTTCCCACAGCAGAACCGGGTTTGATCCCTGGCATCTCATCTGGTCCCTTGAGCACCACCAGGAGTAATTCCTGGGTGCAGAGCCTCGAGTAAGCCCTGAGCACTGCTGGGTGTGCACCCCCACCCCCCCCCCAAAAAAAAAAGCAACAAAAGAAGGAAAGAAAATGACCATGATGGAAGGAGGGGTATTTGCAAACTTTAGATATACATGATTTCAGCTAAAAAGAGCAGAAACAAAACAAGCAGAAAGCAAAGGAAGGGTGTCAAAATGCTGAGTTTATCTTAGGTGGTAGGATTCTGTAACTTTATTTTCCTATTTATAACAATCACAGGTTTATAGGGAAATTTCTGGAAGCAAGGTGCCTTGCATTTCTAGTATCTTTATGTAGCTTGTGTACAGAAAGCACAAAACTTCTGTTTAAAAAAAACCTGAAATTTCTGCTGTGAGTTAAAGTTGGAGCAAGGTTCAAACTAACTCTGCTCTTTATACACCGTTTTTCCCAGCACCTTGGCAGAGACTTACTTGAAAATACTCTTACAAACATTGACTGGGAATTTTCTTTTTCAAGTTTTTCATTAACTCTGTCTTTGGATTCAGGTCAGGAAGGTTCAAAGGTACCCTCAGGAAAAAAGAAGCCTCTCAACACCGAAGGGTTTTCTAAATCTGGAGTAAAGAAAAGAACTGCTTGCACAACCACTCCAAGTAAGTGTTGCCCTGAAGGAATGCACGGGAGAGAGCCAATGTGGGAGAGGCACCGGGTTGGATGGGGGTGGATGCGGGGCAAGAGCTCTGTGCTAGGACTGCAGCTCACAACTGTCCTGGCGTTTTCTAGCTGCAAGATTCTGGGCAGTGATTTATCCTCAGTAAATCTGCTTCCTCCTTCAAAGTTGAAATAATTATAATATCTATTGCATCATCTTACTAACTAGAGGGAATAAAACTATTTTCCCACTTAATTTTTTCCCCAGGTTTTTTGTTTTTTGGGGTTTTTTTTTTTTTTTTTTTTTTTTTGCTCTTTTGGGTCACACCTGGCGATACACAGGTGTTACTCCTAGCTCTGCACTCAGGAATTACTCCTGGCGGTGTTCAGGGGGCCATATGGGATTCTAAGAATTGAACCCAGGTCAGCTGCAAACAAGGCAAATGCCCCACCCACTGTACTATCGATCGAACCCCACCCCCACTTTTCCTTGTTTTTTGGGTTTGCTTGGGGGTCAAACAGTAGCACTCAGGCCTTACTCCTGTTCCTGTTTCTGCACTCAGGGATCACTCCTGGAGGTGCTCAGGGGATCATATGGGGTGCTGGGGATTGAACCCAGGTCAGCATGGTGCAAGGCAAGCTCCCTACCTTCTAGACTATCGATTGCTCTGGCCCCACATTTTTTCACTTTTGATTAACAATAGCAGATCTGAGAATGAATGTCAAGCCATTGATACAATGACTTCCTTGTGATAAGTTTCTCTCCCCCACCCATCTCTTCCTTCTTCCCTTCCTTCTTTCCTTTTTCTTTCTTTTTCTTCCTCTTTATCTCTTTCTCTTTCCTTTTTTTTTCTTCTTTGGCTAGTCCTCTGTGCTCAGGAGTGATCCCTGGTGCTGCTTGAGGGGACCATGTGTAGTGTCCAGGACCAGCCGCATGTAAAGCAAGAACCTCTCCAATTGTACTGTCTCTCTGACCCTAAGTTTCTTTCCTTTTCAGTAAGATGAGAAGGAAGAGAAAGACTGTCTCTTCTTGATATGTAATTTCTCACTATTTTGTATTGATGGAGTTTTGCTTGGCACATAGAATCTTGACTAAGTCTTAAATATTTGTAGTAGCCCTAAGCACCACTGAGTGTTCAACACACCCCCCCAAGAAAAATAATAATAACTCAGAGGTGAGAATAAGTATTAAATTAACAGGTAAGATGAAGGGAAAGATGAATAAGGGTAAATTAATTGTCTTATAATTAATTTGTATATTTTGGGTAACATTCTAGACTTTAAGAAACTTCATGAGGCTCATTTTAAGGAAATGGAGTCCATTGATCAATATATGGAAAGGAAAAAGAAGCATTTTGAAGAACACAGTTCATTGAGTGAACTGAAGGTACGCTGATAGAATAGTTCTTAATGTGACCAGGCTTTAATATGAGAGGCGAAAGGCATATTGCGCCCCACCAGGCAGTGCTCAGGGACTATTTCTTATTCTCTCCTTAACTCTCCTGATGGTGCTCAGGGACCATACATGGTGCTGAGGATCAAACCAGGGCCAGGAGTGACCTAAGCACCACTTGGTGTGGTCAAAAGATAAAAATATCTGTACATCTTATATTTAGTTTTACTACTTTTTGTTACATTTTCCTATATTAATCTTTAATCCACTTTTTTTCCCCACGTGGTATTGTCTGCTTAAGCTCTTCGCTAGAATAGGATTCGGGGGTGGGGGCAGTATGGGATCAAACCCAGGGCTCCCACATGAAAGGCATGCGCTCTTACCACTGAGCCACATCCCCACCCATAATGGGGTTATGATTTTGTTACTTGTTTTTTTGTATCTGGGCCACCCCCAGCTGTGGATCATATATTCTGGATCATTTTGGCAGTGCTGGGGGACCACATGGTGCTGGGGACCACTAGCATGCAAAGCATTCACTCCAGCCCATTCAGCTATCGCCTCAGCCTAGAATGGGTTTATTCATTTATTATTTGGGTTTTGGGAAGCTACTCTCAGTGCTCAGGGCCCCTGTGGTGCTGGGGATGGAACCCTGATCTCTAGATGCAAATCATATGCTCCAGCCCACTGCAGTCTAGTTTTTTATTTGGAGGGATCTTTTGTTTTTTGTTTGGGGCCACATCCAATGATGCTCAGCAGTTTCTCCTGGCTCCACGCTCAGGAATTACTCCTGGAAGTGCTTGGGGGACCATATGGGATGCTAAGGATTCAACATAGGTTACCCATGTGCACTGTACTGTTGCACCGGCCCCATGTTCTGTTTTGTTTTCTTTCTATAGAACAAACAAACTTTACAATTTGTGGGAAGGTGGAGACTTAAATTATTTGTAAGTTCCATGTTTGCCACTCAATGCCTCTTTTGCAGACCACAACATCCAAAGGGGGAGAGAGAACACAAGGGAATGCCCTGCCACAGAGGCGGGGGGGATGGGGGTGGGAGGGATACTGCGATCTGTGGTGGTGGGAAATGGGCACCAGTGGAGGGATGGGTATTTGATCATTGTATAACTGAAACCCAAGCACAAAAATTTGTCAATCTACGGGGCTGGAGCAATAGCACAGCGGGTAAGGCGTTTGCCTTGCACGCAGCCAACATGGCCGACACAGGTTCGATTCCCAGCATCCCATATGGTTCCCTGAGCACCGCCAGGAGCAGTTCCTGAGTGCATGAGCCAGGAGTAACCCCTGAGCATCGCCGGGTGTGACCCAAAAAAGCAAAAAAAAAAAAAAATTGTCAATCTACAACTGTACCTTCACTAATAAAAATTTTTAAAAAATTATTTGTAAGTTCCATGTGGGAATTATAAAATAGCTTCTTCCATGAATCTGTGAGTTGGGCTTGAAGAACATTAAGCCCAAAGGTGTCATTCTTCCAAGGGATCCACCTTTCCTTCTGGCCACAGTGTCTGTTTACCTACAGTCTCTCTCTGCTTGGAAGATGCCAGGCCTGGTGGTGAAGGCCCCTGGCCAAGGCTCTTGTACCAGCACAGCCAGAAGTTACACTTGTTTGTTTTTTTTTTTTTTTTTAATTTTGAGCCATACCTGGCGGTGCTTGGGACTTACTTCTAACTGTGTGCTCATCGAGCGCTCCTTGTGGGACTCAGGGATGGAACCCGGGCTGGCCACGTGCAGTGCCCTCCCTGTTGTCCTATCACTCCATCCCTGAGTCCAGAGTTACTCTTAAGTCAGAATTCCTCTCTGTCACAGGCAGAAAATGGCCCAGCCAGGCAGACAGGGGCCACAGGACAAAGCATTGAGGAAGGACGGGGGACGAGGTGAAAGATGGCACCCTTCCCTGTGCCTTGCCACTGAGACGAGTTTGCCTGCTAGGCTGAGTTGTAACAGGATGCTTTCCCCTCCCATTAGAAGCAGCCAGTCAACAAGGCCATGGTGGCCACTCCAATGGCCCAGAGAGGACGCTTCTCTGAGGCCTGCACGCCTGTCAGCCAGCAGCGTTCTCAGGGCCGGATCCACGCCCCCGTGTCTCGAAATACCTCATGTGTGAAGAGGTCAGGCAAGAGCTCGGCCACAAAAATGAACGTCAGGTAAGGAGTCCGTAGGGTTGGCCTCGAGTGGCTCCAAACTTTACTGCTTCCAATTCCCGTCTCATGGACACCAGCTATGGATCTTGTGTGGGTGGCAGGTTTGGGGGCCACATCCATGAAACTCAAGTGTTTTTCCAGTACTGTGCTCAGGGGTCACCTACAGTGGTATTCAGAGTTCAAGCAGTGCCAAGAGCCTTTTTAACCTGGGCTCCCACACGCAAAGCATGTGCTCACACCAGTTAGCTATCACTCCTGCCAGCATCAAATGTTTTTATTGTTGTTGGGTTTTTTTGTTTGGTTGGTTTTGGGTCTTGGTCCACATCCTATGATGCTCAGGGGTTACTCCTGGCTCTGTACTCAGGATTTACTCCCAGCGGTGTTCCATAGGGCTACTGGGGATTGAATCTGGGTGGCCATATGCAAGGCAAATGCCCTACCTACTGTAATACCACTCTGGCCCCTGAATCAAATGTTTTTATGTGAATGAAACAGGGATGGGAGACGTTAGTACAGTGGGAATGGCTCTTGCATGCACACTGCCAACCAGCTTTGATTCCCAGCACCACGTACAGTTTTTCTTTTTTCTTTTTTTTTATATATTTTTTTGCTTTTTGGGTCACACCTGGCGATGCACAGGGGTTACTCCTGGCTCTGCACTCAGGAATTACCCCTGGCGGTGCTCAGGGGACCATATGGGATGCTGGGAATCGAACCGGGGTTGGCCACATGCAAGGTAAACGCCCTACCTGCTGTGCTATCGCTCCAGTTTTTTCTTTTTCAGTTTTTAGACCACACCTGGCTGTGCTAAGGTATCACTCTTGGCAGAGCTTGAGAAACCATATGTGGTGCAGGGAATCAAACTGGTGTTTGCTATATGCAGGACAAGCACCTTACCCTGAACTATCTCTCTGGCCCTGACATCAGATGGTTTTTCTTAAATAATTTATATAATTACTCTGAATTACAAAATTATTCACTGAGTTCTAGAAGTGCAGTATTTAAGCACCAGTCCCTTCACCAGTATCTCCAGTTCCCCTCCCACCAAACTTCAGATGGTTTTTTAAGTTCTAACAATTTTCATGTTTTCTTTCTCCTTTTGTGGGGGGGTGGGGGAAAGGAGGTGAGAGATACATCTGGCAGTGTCCAAGGCATACAAGGCAAGCACCCTACATGCTATAGTAAATATAGTGTGTCTCCAGCCCCAGGTTTTGGTACTTAATTCAACTTTTTGAAGCTAATACTTTTTTTAAAGATTAAAGTACTTCCTGTTTGTTTGTTTGTTTGTTTGTTTGGGGGCCATACCCAACGGTGATCAGGGCTTATTCTGACTCAGCTCAAGGATCACTCCTGGCAGGGCTCAGAGAACAATGTGGAGTTCCAGGGACCAAACCCAGGTTGTCCACCTACAAGGGAGTTACTCTCCCTGCTATACTAGTGCTCTGACTCCTTGAAGCTTATCTTTTATAAGACAGAAGATAACATCTATATGACTAAGTCTTCATTTTATTAGTTTGTTAGTTACATGGCTACAGAGAAATGCAAAGAGAAATTTTTCTATTGACTTGAATATAAAAATTGAAGTTGAATTTTTCCAGGAACCCTCTCAGCATGGAATGATGTCTGCTTCTGGCACCCAAACATGGCCGAGGTGCCTCCTGCAGCAGAGCATATGAACTGTCTTTGTCGTTCCCCGTACCTGCCTCCATACACTCTCTCTCTCTCTCTCTCTCTCCCCCCCTCTCTCATACTCCAGTGTCCATCCCCTCTCCCCCGCTGTGTCCAGAGCTGTCTACAGTTCACAACCTTTCTCTCTCTTTTTTTTTAATGTAGGAGTACTGCTATTTATTCAGCCACTGATTAGCTGATTGAATTGTGTATGAACTCCACCTTACTTTTTTTTTTCATTTTTTATAATTTTATTTATTGAATCACCGTGAGAGCAGTTAGGGGGAACAGGCCAAGGCACAAAACCTGTTTCATTGTATGCAGTCTCGGTCATACAATGAAACACCCGTACCTTCACCAGTGCCCATTCTCCACCCCCAACAACCCAGTATACCCCCATCCCACACCCTCCCCCTACCTGTGGGGCAGATGATTTCCACATTGCTCTCTCTCTACTTTGATCACATTCAGTATTTTGACACCAGACCCACCATTATTATTTGAGATTTTACCCCAACACTCAGATCTGCTGAAAAGGCAACAGTAGACAATTTGCTCTCTATTGCTGGCTATGAATTACATATGATGTTGCGTGGCTGCAGTAGTGGCCACGCGATTTTGAATTTCCAAAATTTTAACACTTAAATCTGGAGGGATTTCTGCCAAAACCTGCTGGGTTCCGAGATTTGCTCCTGAGTCTCTGGGATTATGGCCGTTAAGTAGCTTGATCAGGAGCCAGAGAGGCAATTCGTGGGCGATGACTTGGGGTCTCGTTGGGATGGGGAGGACAGGACTGGCTCCACCCCCATCCCAGGAGGTCCAAAATGTCTTGTCACTGCGGGCCCAAACCTGACTGTCCAATGGCCTCTGGAGGATGGCGGCCACCGAGCCGCCTGGGGGAAGCAGGCGGAGGGACAACACCCTTTCCCCCCTGGGGTGGCCTGGCGACAGTAACCTACTGCAGGTTCCGGACGCATTTCTGCCAAAAGCCGCTGGATTTTGAGATTTGTTTGAGTCTCTGGGATCATGGCCGTTAAGCAGCTTGATCAGAAGCCAGAGAGGCTATTCGTGGGCAAAGACTTGGGTCTCGTTGGGTTGGGGAGGACAGGACCAGCTCCACCCCCATCCTGTGAGGCCCTGCGTGTCTCGTCACTGCAGGCCCAAACCTGACTGTCCAGTGGACCCTGGAGGATGGCGACCACCTGGCCACCAGGGGGAACAGGCCAAGGCACAAAACCTATTCCCGCCTGGGTTGGCCCAGCACCAGTAACTTACTGCAGGGACCAGAAGCATTTCTGCCAAAAGCCGCTGGGTTTCGAGATTTGTTTCTGAGTCTCTGGGATGACGGCCATTAAGCAGCTTGATCAGGAGCCAGAGAGGCCATCTGGAGGATGACGGCCAACAAGCCGCCAAGGGGGAGCAGGCAGAGTGACAACACCCTTTCCCCCCTGGGGTGGTCCAGCAACAGTAACCTACTGTGGGGTCCAGACGCATTTCTGCCAAAAGCCACTGGGCTTCAAGATTTGTTTCTTAGTCTCTGGGATCATGGCCGTTAAGCAGCTTGATCAGGAGCCAGAGAGGCCGTTCATGGGCAATGACTTGGGGTCTCGTTGGGGTGGGGAGGACAGGCCCGGCTCCACCCCATCCTGTGACACCCAAAATGTCTCGTCACTGCAGGCCCAAACCTGACTGTCCAGTGGCCCCTGGGGGATGACAGCCACCGGGCCGCCAGGGGGAACAGACCAACGCACAAAACCTATTCCCACCTGGGTTAGCCCAGCACCAGTAACCTACTGCAGGGATTGGATGCATTTCTGCCAAAAGCCGCTGGGTTTCCAGATTTGTTTCTGAGTCTCTGGGATCATGGCCGTTAAGCAGTTCAATCAGGAACCAGAGAGGCCATGCCTCCAATTATATAGCTGAGCTGGAGGTGGTTTGTGGGTGTGTCTCCCACATACCTAACTTTTGGCCGTTTACTTTCTTGGTAAACTTTGCCCTAAGTTTTTGGGATTTGGCCAAAGGTACAGCAGCAATTTTGGGGTATCTGGAAGTCTGAAGGCGCCATCAGGCTGCTGATGCACTCGCCTCACAGGTACAGATTGACCTGCTGGCGGCACCATACCCCCCACAACCTTTCTCTTAACACAGCTTTGCACTTTGCCAAACAACAAAATATGAATCTGTAGCTTCCAAATCCGGGAATAGGCATGGAAGTGGTTTGTATAGCATCCAGACTGTAAGTGCATGTCTGTTCTGTAAGGGAACATATAATACTCCTGTAACAGTATTTCTGGAGGCCCTTTTACTGGTGCTGGGCCTGTAGTTCTTTTAGAAGCTTGCCACCAGTTTACCTTGAGAATGTGCTGATGGCCCGTGTCCTACTGTCCTGTTTAGGTTTTCAGCCACTACTAAAGATAATGAGCATAAGCGTTCACTCACCAAGACTCCAGCCAGAAAGTCTCCCCTTGTGACCATGCCTTGGAGTACCTCAAAAGGCCAACCTGCACTTGGGACAAACAAATTAATGACCCCACGAAGGGATTCTGCTGTTGGTAAGAAGGAAAAAAAAAACTTTTGATTCATCTATAAACAATGTAACTCCCTTGAGTTAAATCTATTTCCTTTAAATACTCCATAAAACCAAAAACAAAATATCACTATAGCCTAGATGTCACTTAATTTTGTGGCGATGGGAAAATAGTATACCAGGTAAGGTGCTTGCCTTGCTTGCCACTGACCCAGGCTCGATCTCCACACCCCTTTCAGGAATGATCCCTGAACACAGAGCAAGAAGTAAGCCCTAAGCATCCCCAGGTGTGACCCCAAAACAAAAAGAAACCCCAAATCATTTCATGTCAGTAGAGTAAATGCTAGTGCAGCAAGCAAAACTGGTGCCTGCCTGACTGCTCAGTCCTGATCAGAGAACTCTGTGCTGGGGAGATTCTCAGATGACGGAGCAGGTGCTGTGTATGTGGTGGCTCTGGGTTACCTGCCTGGCATCACCTGGTCCTCATCACTGTCCTGCCCCTCGGACCGCTGAGTGTTGGCCCCACAGCAAAAACTACAAAACGAGGTTTGCAGGACTTGTCTCTGAATGAACCTGTAGGACTGACACTGGTGAGATTCCAGAATTCTTGGAGTAAGTGCTGTGCTCTGGCACTCAGGTTGTGCGAGCCAGGAAGGTCACCCAGGAGCTTTACACTCTGTTAGAGATTCGGGGACGTACAAGTACATTGATGGTCTTTTTTTTTTTTTTTTTTTTTTTTTTGCTTTTTTTGGGTCACACCTGACGATGCTCAGTAGTTACTCCTGGCTCTGCACTCAGGAATAACACCTGGCAGTGGTCCGGGTTCAATCCTGGGTTGGCCATGTGCAATGCAAACACCTTCCCTGCTGTAGTATCGTTCCGGCCCTGACAGTCATTTTCTATGACCAGGAAAACAGTAGCCATTTGAAGATTTGCCACAGCTCCCAAACTTACTTGCCTGCTTTCCCTTTTTTTTCTGAAAAGAAATCAATCCCTTGGCATCCTCTGAAAATCTTCCTTTAGATAGACACACAAGATGATAATACCTCCCAATTGCCCTGCAGACTAGTGCCCCTGAGGTTATTCCAGATCCTTCCCCACGGGGGCAGTATTGCCCACTTTGGGAAACCAGTTTAAAGCAATATAGTCGACAAAGTGAGGCTTGCTTTAGAATCTTATGTGTCAAAGTTCTCCTGAGAGTTCTATTAAGAGCCATGATTCCAGGGCCTGAGCAGTAGTACAGTGCGTAGAGGGTTTTCTGAGTGCAGCGCCAGAAGTAAGCCCTGAGCGCTTCCAGGTATGCCCCTCTCCCCCAAAAAAACAACCAAAAAAATCACTTTGTTTTTGGAGCCAGAGCCATAGCACAGCAGGTAGGACATTTGCCTTGCACACAGCCGGCCCAGGTTTGATTCCCAGTATCCCATTTGGTCCCCCAAGCACCGCCAGGAGTAATTCCTGAGTGCAAAGCCAGGAATAACCCCTGTGCATCGCCGGGTGTGATACAAGAAAGCCAAAAATTTTTTTTAAATTACTTTGTTTTTATTTTTGGGCCGACAGCTAGTTCTTGGGCAACCATGTTGTGTCGGGGATTAAACCCAGGACTCTTACATATAGAATTTATGTTCCAGCCCTTTGAACTGTCTTTGGCCCTAAAACTTCACATTCTGAAGTTATAGCCCTTTTTTTCCCTTTTGGCTCTTTTGGGTCACACCAAGTGATGCTAAGGATTTACTCCTGGCTCTGCAATTGAGGATTTCCCCACACACACACCGGCAGTGCTCAGGCAGACCATATCGGATGCGGGGGTCGAATTTATGTTAGCTGCGTGCAAGGCAAACATCCTACCAGCTGCTGTACTGTTGCTCGGCCCCTGCTATTACATACAGCCTTTAATAGCAACCACCATAGCCATGAAAATTCATTTATATATAATCAGATTCCTCACAGGATTTATATCTGTATTAATGTATTACTGCTGACAATAAATTATGAACTAGAATCATTAATGAATTATGGACCTGATAGTTGAATTTTTTGAGAGCAGCCGAGATTGGGCGCACAGCAGATAGGACATTTGCCTTGCACATGGCCGACCCAGGTTCAATTCCTCTATCCCTCTCGGAGAGCCCGGCAAGCTACCAAAAATATCCCACACGCACAGCAAAGCCTGGCAAGCTCCCCGTGGCGTATTCAATAGGCCAAAAACAGTAACATCAAGTCTCACTGGAGACATTACTGGTGCCCGCTCAAGCAAATCAATGAACAACGGGAGGACGGTGACAGTTGAATTTTTATTTTGGGAGGAATTGGACCAACCCAGCAGTGCTCAGGCCTTACTCCTGGCTGTCTGCTCAGTGATCACTCCTGGTGGGGCTCATAACTACACAGGGAGCTGGGGATTGAACCAAGGTCAGCACTTGCAAAGCAAGTGCCTTAATCTCTGTACTATTTCTCCATCCCCAAATTTTGGGTGTAAAAGCTTTCATTTTTGAATTAAGCCCTTATGGGTTTGGGTTTTATGTATCTGTCTTATTTTCAGTTTCTACCCCATTCAAGCGCGTTGCTGAGGCCTCAAATACTCCCGTCTCCCAGAAAAAACCAGTGTTTGATCTCAAAGCAAGTTTGTCTCGTCCACTCGGCTATGAACCACACAAAGGTATGTGTGTGTGTTGGTGGGGAGGGCTATACTGTATGCAAAAGAGTTGAGAATCAACTATTTTATCAATCAGAGCGCCTTTGCATGCAGGAGGCCTGGGTTAGATCCTTCGCTTCAAATAGTTTCCTGAGCACCGCTCGCTCGCTCTTGCTCTCTGTCTCTCTCTCTTTCTCTCCCTCCCTTATCTACTCCCCCCCCCACCCCACTCTTACTTTCTCCTCCCTCTCCCTCTCCCTTTCCCTCTACTCCCTCAAAGATAGACCTTCCAGAATCCAGAATGTTAACTATTACACCATGGAACCTTATAGTCAAAGACAGACTTCCAATCAGAGTCACTACAAATCATTCTTAAAGTTTTAGCCCAAATCAGGGAACTTGGGTGTTAATCTGTGCAATCTCTTGAATGAACAAATGTTTTCTTTGCAACTTTCAAAGGAGCCCAATCTTTCTCTCTGGAATACTTATTGGACTTACTGGACCCATGTCACTCTTGGGCACTAATCTTTCTTTTTTAAGTGTATATATGTAGGACGGGGGCAAATTTAGGCTACTCCTCGCTGTGCACAGGGGTTATTTCTGAGTACAGCTGGTTGTAGCCCCAAAACAAAGTGATATAATTTCCTAGTCTGGGGATATGGCCACAAGGGCAGAAGCGAATGCTTTGCATGGGAGCCCCAGACTGGATATCTGGGACCATGTCGTCCTTTGAGCACTGAAACGTGTAGTCTCTCCTTTCCCTCTCCCTCTCTCTCTCTATATATATATAATATGTATATATAGATATGATGTTATATATATGCATATATTTATATATATATATCTCTTAAATAGATCTTTATGTCTGTTTTAGGAAAGCTGAAACCATGGGGACAATCGAAAGAAAACTGTGTGAATGAACACATAAGCAGAGTCAGCCTCCACAAGAACACGTACAAACAGCCTCGCTTCAAGACCAGGTGAGAATGATGATCCAGTTCTAGAGGTCTCTTAGCTTTGAAAGATTGTATTTATATAAAAGCAGAGCCTCTGGGTTAACGGGAATCTCAGTAATGAGATAGTTTTCATAATGGGGACCAAAAAGATAGAACAATGGTTAAGGCACTTGCCATGCATGCTGCCAAGCCCAGCTCCATCCCCACTATCACAGGGCCCCTTCAGCCCCCTGCACTAGCAACAGAGCAGGAAGTAGCCCCCAAGCCTCACCATGTGTGCTTGAGGAAACAAACTTATATAAAACTTTGGATTTGGGGGTTTTCTGGGGGAGAGGGAGGAGGGTATATCTGGCTGTGTTCAAGGACCACTCCTGGCCCTGTGCTAAGTGATCACTCCTGGTGGGGTTCGAGGTACCACATGTAATGTTGGGGTTTGAACCAGGGTCTGCCATATACATGGCAAGTGCCTTCCCATTGTACAATCTCTCTAGCGACCAAGAGAGTGGAGATGAAATCACATGCTATATAAGCACATGTCACTAGGACCCTGCCACAGTGGATTCAGACTGACAAGGTTTGAGGTAGGGCCCAGGCATCTGCATTGTTTCCAAAGCTCAACAAGTGATTCAGGGGCCAGAGAGGTAGCACAGTGTGTAGGGCGCTAGCATTACATGCCACCAACCTGGTCTCAATTCCACACCACATATGGTCCCCTGAGCCCCACCATGAGTAAGCCCTGGTCATAAGCTGAGTGTGAATCAAAAATAAAAGAGCCTGAGAGACGGTACGGGCATATGGTGTTTGCCTTGCATGTGGCTGACCTGGGTTTGATCCTCAGCATCCCATGTGGTCCCCAGAGCCTCACCAGTAGAATTCCTGAGTACCGAGCCAGGAGTAAGCCCAGAGCACAGCTGAGTGTGTGCTGCCCCCCGCCCCCCCAAAAAAAAATAATAAAAGAAGTGCTTCAGAATGGGACCTCAACTCAGAGAATGCCGTCACCTCACAGTTCTCCCCAACACTGCATGGGGGTGTACCTTCAGACACCAGATCAAGTGCACAGGATGTGTAGATGTTAGGAGGTGGAAACCCTCGCCCTGGGGAAACTGGGCCTTGATCAGAGGCACGGGCCACTGGATGGACTGTAAAGTCTGTCTCCCTAAGTGTGCTAGGTATCAGTTTACATTGGATAACTTTGTTTTGGGTCACACCCAGCAGTGCTCAGAGCTTGCTCCTGGATTTATGCTCAGGGATCATTCCTGGCGGGACACGGGAACATATGGGGATCAAACCTGGGTCAGCCACATGCAAGGCAAGCGGCCTACCCCTATCACTCTGACCCTAATGCTAGTTTACATCGGGCCATCACAGCTAGAGAAGGTGCTCAAAGGACCAGAGCACATGTTTTGCATGCAGAAGACAAAGGTTCAATCCCCAACACCACTCATTCCTCCAAGCCTGGTCTCAGGACTGGCCCAAAACTCCACCAAATGTGACATTGGGCCAATGGTGAGTTTAAGATGCTCTGCCTTGGAGTCTCATGGGAGCATAACACGTCCCTGTCCCTTTTAGGGAGGAGCAGCGCAAGAAACATGAGGAAGAGCAAAAGGAGAAGAAAGCAAAGGTTTTGGCAGCTCGAAGAGGACTTGTGGCTAAAAATTGATAATCTTGTAATATTATGTAAATATTCTTTTATTTTGAACTTCTTGTAAATATTTTAGTGTTCTCCTTTTCAGTCACTAGCTATCTTTCTGCTCCTTGCTGGCATTGTATTGTGGGAATGGGCCTTCCATGTGCCACGGCTCTGAAAGAACATTCATTTCTAAAGACCACGAATCCTTTAGAATGGTTTTTATGTACGTCCTGATACAACTCCGTTTTCTATTAAGCCTTCTTCAGTAGTTTATTGGCTAGCACAGTCCTCCCGTTGTTCACTGATTTGCTCCAGGGGGCCCAGTAACGTCTCCATTGTGAGACTTGTTGTTGCTGTGTTTGGCCTATCAAATATGTGTAGCTTGCAGGCTTTGCCCTGCGGGTGAGATACTCTCTCCGTGGTAGCTTGTCGGCTCTCCCGGGAGGGGTGGAGGAATCAAACCCAGCCTGGCCGGCTGTGCACAAAGCAAATGCCCTACCGCTGTGCTATCGCTCCACCCAGTAGTTTATTAACCTAGATATTTTCATGTCAAGTTCCCTCTGTAGGCTCCAACCTTGCAGTGCTCTTATAGGTAAAAACATTTATCTGATAGTAGCTAGTTATGTTGCAGGCTTTAGCAGAAATGGAGCAATGAGAGTAGGCTAGAAATACCTGCTTGCAGGACGATGGATCTGTGGGCTACAGAGCTAGTTACAGTATCGGGATCTTAAAGGGTTTTGTTTAAGCTTATTTATACCTTTGCTCTGATCATTTTATATATTTGCCATCTTAACAAAAACTAGAGCATATGCTAACCCTGCTCATAAAAATGTATTCTGAAATTTGAGAAATACTGCTTTGAGAATTACTATACACTGTCCATAATAGTTTTAGTTTAGGGCAAAGAATTGAGTGGCTTAGTATCATATCTGTGTCCTTTGCACCTACCAGAAGCTTCTGAGTTTGTCCTGTTTATGATTTTCATAAATAAAATTGTGGTAAGCTTATTCTTTTTTCTTTTCCCTTTTTGGGTCACACCCAGCAGTGCTTTTAGGAATTACTCCTAGCAGTGCTCTGGGGATCAAGGTGCTGGGGATCAAACCCCGGTTGGCCATGTGCAAGGCAAATGCCCTACCCACTGTCTGCTCTGGCCCCAGTCAGCTGATTCTTTTTCAACATAATAGGCTTCTAAAATTTAGTTGAGCACCTAAAATGAAGAGATTTATGTGTAATTCCTGGTGGATGCTTTTTCCTCTTCCCTGCCATTGATGTTGATACAATGTCTCTTTCAGTGTCTACTTGTTCTTGGTGCTTGCTCACACTTGTTTTGTTTTCTTGGGGCTTCTCCCAGCTGTTGGGGAGAAGCTCCCTTGTTTTTTTTTCCGGAAGGGACCATGCAGTGCCAGGAATAGCACCTATATTGACCACATGCAAGCAAGCACTCATGGAAAAACCCCCTGTAATCTTTCTTGCCCTCCTGGGTGTTGACTCTGGTACTCATAGCCTCATAGCAGAGATCAGACTTCCTGGTGTGGATGGTACCTGGGCAGATCTTCTAATCTCATGCTTGCAAAACGGCTCTGCGGAGCCACATCACCCCAGCCCTCTATCCTTTCTCACATGCCAAGAAATGATCATGTTCTAGTATATGTCTACAGCATCTACAGTCAAATTGTATTTGTTATTCATACATGAACCCACAAAATTGAGCTTTTACCTGGTGCTAAAAATTCCAGATTTTTCTATCAGAGGCAGGATCTGATCAAAATACACTACTACAGGGGCCCGGAGAGATAGTAGAGTGTGTAAGGCACTTGCCTTCCATCTGACCCGCATTCAATTCCCAGTATCCCATAAGGTCTCCTGAGCATGTCAGGAGTGATTCCTGAGTGCAGAGCCAGGAGTAACACCTGAGTACAGCCAGGGATGGCTCAAAAAACAAAACAAAATACACTGCTGCAAGGAATGCTGAATAATATTACCACTTTGGAACATAGGTAAGTGGGTTCTTTTAATTCTATACAAAAAAGGAAGGGGGGAGGAATAAAATGCTGTTAAACACAATACAATAAGGATGAACCTCTGCCGCTGCATCAAATTTGGAGCCTGTCACACCATGGCTGGTACTGGCGCAAAAGGCAGCCAAAAGAACACTGGCTCACGGGCCCTGGGCCCCTCCTGGGCCTCAGGATACATCTGGTCACAGACAACAAAAAGAATAAAGGGAAGAACCTCAAAGACCTGGTAAGTTTTTTGTTTTTGCTTTTTGGGTCACACCCGGCGATGCACAGGCTTTACTCTTGGCGGTGCTCAGGGGACCGTATGGGATGCTGGGAATCGAACCTGGGTCGGCCGCGTGCAAGGCAAACGCCCTACCCACTGTGCTATCTCTCCAGCCCAGACCTGGTGAGGTTTAAGCCAGAAAAGATTACATATTTTATGATTTTATTTATATGAAATGTTCTTGTCACAAATCTATAGAGAAGGAAAGTGGGTGAGCATTACCTGGAGCTGGCATGGGATTGAAGAATGACGATAAAGGCACTGAAATTTCTTTCTGGCCTCATGAAATTTTTCTTAATCTAGCCTGTATTAAGTTGTGCAGTCTGTAAATACACAGAAAAATCACTGGCCTACATGCTTAAAATGGTGGGTTTTGTGTTTGTGAAACTATTAAAGAGAGGCTCTGAGTGACAGTACAGCAGGTGAACTGCTTGCCTTGCATGTGGCTAACCTGCGTTTGACTCCCAGCACCACTTATGGTCCTTCTACCCACTTGGAGTGATTCCTGAAGCAGAGCCTGGAGTAAGCCCTGAGCACTGCCAGTGTGACCCAAAAATAAAAAAAAAAGAAAGAAAACAACATGTCATGCTGTGTTCACCTAAATGCACTACCATTTAGTTTTATCTTAAATACATACTGGAGCCACAGAGATAGGACAATAGGTAGGGCTTTTGCCTTGCATGCAGCCGACCCAGGTTTGATCACCAGCATTCCATATGTTCCCCCAAGCACCACCAAGAATAATTCCTGAGTTCAGAGCCGGGAGTAACCCTGAACATCACCAGATGTGACCCAAAAAAACTTTAAATGCAGGAAATACATACCATTTGTGAATGTCATTCATCAATTATATTACTTATTATACTTTATTATAAAGTATATTAAAGTCTATTAGGACTACAGAAATAGTGTAGTGGGTAGGGCACTGGTCTTGCACATGGCCAACCCCAGTACAATCTCTGCCCAATCCAGGGTTTCAGGCCCCTGAACACCACCAGAGATGGCCCCCAAACAAAAACTTTGTGTTGTAGACACTACCACCAATAATTTAGTTAAACTACCACGTGATGACTACTTAAAAAGTCTTGGGTTGAGCTCTGGAGAATTTTCATAGGCAAATTCTTCCTTGTGGGCTGGATCAGTAAACACGCCAATAAAATCTATTTCCAAGAAGAATGGACCATCTACTTTATCAGCCAAGGTGAATCCAATGGAAGAGATCTAAATTTAAATCAGAGAAATGGGTTAAAATACAGACATGGCTGTATGAATGTTATTACTGAGATTTCAAAATTTGTTGAGGCATTTACTATTGCTGCTCTTTACACCCCAGTTCAGTATACCGTAGCAAATTAAAAGAGGAAGCAGGTTTAGAAAAGAAAAGGCTGCTTGCTTTCCATTCCATCCCCTCACCTCTCACTTTAAGGCAGGACTACTTCGTAACAGAAGGGTCAACAGATATGTCTGATGGGCCTTCCCTGATGCTTTCTTCAACTCTTTATTATGTGCGGGCCAGGGATGTGGCTCAAAGTCAGAGTCTAGCCTGCAGGTAAGAAGCCCTGGGTTTGATCCATGGACCCATGAGTACCTCTGATTGAGTCCTGATACTACTACATATTACAGTATGTATCCCCAGTAGCGGCAAAGAGAAAGAACATACTGGAAAAAAGTGACCACTGAGATTTCTGCAGAGGGCTAGAGCAATGGTACAGCAGATAGGGTGTTAGCCTTGCACAGGGCCTGCCAGGTTCAATCACCAGCACCCCATATGGTCCCGGGAGCTCTTCCAGGAATGATCCCTGAGTGCAGAGCCAGGAGTAAGCCCTGAGGTTTGCCACCTGTGGCCTAAAAACAAGCTGATATTTCTGCAGATGGAGGCTGACACACAGGACAAAGATGATTCAAGCATGGTGTAGGCGACCCTGAGTCTGAGTTCACTGCTTTCAAGTAAGAGACTGAACTTATCCTCACAGAAGCTGTGTTATTACTGATACAAACACAGGTCCTAATGAAAGTAAGGAACTCTTACCCTGTCAGGCATCAGCTGGTACTGGGCATCCCGAATTCTTCCTTTATTAGAGAAGAAAAATTTGGAGAAAGGAATCTGAAAGGGGAAAAAAAATTTTTTTTTAACTGTAATGTGAACAACAGGAGCATTTTTGTGGAATTAATGATAAAACTAAAACTATTGATTTTAGGCTATATGTAAGCATGACAAGGGCAATCCATTTGAATCAAAGATAGAAATTTTTTCTGCCACAGCCAGCAGTGCTCAGGGCTTACTCTTGACTTTGCAGTCCAGGATCACTCCTGGTGGGCCCCATGCAAGGCAAGCTGGACTATAAAACCACTGTTCTATCTCTCCAGACTTAATTTTTTTTTCTTTTTGGGTCACTCCCGGTGATGCACAAGGGTTATTCCTGGTTCTGCACTCAGGAATTACTCCTGGCAGTACTCAGGGGACCATATGGGATGCTGGGAATCGAACCCAGGTTGGCTGCATGCAAATGCTCTACCTGCTATGCTATCGCTCCAGCCCCAACTGATACGAAATTTTTTAAGAAGAAATCACCGCCAGTGAGATAGCTTAGGCAGTAGAGCGCGTACCAAGCATGGGAGGCCCTGAGTTCCATCCCTGACACTGCAAAATAATGTATCTTAAACCCCCAGCTCTTACAGATAACTGGAAGATAAAATAACCCAGGAGAAATGGGGTGGGAGGCTGGGGCACTTGCAGCATTAGCAGGAGTGTGGTTCATGCGGCACTTGGCCCAGGAATTCTACTTCTTCACTATATCTGCCTTCTTTCAAGTATCCCACTATGGGGTGCGGAGCTGCTGTGCAGGAGGCCCTAATGAGCTGGCTTTAAAATGTTCACCACCATGGGGGCTGGAGCAATAGCAGAGCAGGTAGGGCGTTTGCCTTGCACACGGCCGACCCGGGTTCGATTCCCAGCATCCCATATGGTCCCCTGAGCTACCACAAGGAGTAATTCCTGAGTGCAGAGCCAGGAGTAACCCCTATATATCTCCAGGTGTGACCCAAAACACCAAAAAAAAAAAAAAAGTGTCCACCACCAAATAAGTATCCTTATTTTAAAAATGCTTAGGCTAGGGCTAGAGTGATAGCACAGCAGGTAGGGCGTTTGCCTTGCACACGGCTGACCCAGGTTTGGCTGACCTGGGTTCGATTCCCAGCATCCCATGTGGTCCCCTGAGCACCGCCAAGAGCGATTCCTGAGTGCATGAGCCAGGAGTAACCCCTGTGCATCACCAGATGTGACCTCCCCCCCCAAAAAAAAAAATGCTTAGGCTGGAGAGAAAGCATTCATGGGCTGACCTCATGCTTTAGGACAATGAAGCCTGGGCTCCATCCCCTGCAACATAGGTCCAAGAGCATCACCGGAAGTGATCCCCTAGCACAGAAACAGGAGCAGCCCAAAACAAAGACCCAGTGGTTAGTAAGCTAACACACTGGTGAGAGGACAACTCAATTATGTGAATTTTGCCTCCCCACAGACTCCAAGAGGTATTCCTAAGGATAAGGAAAGTACAATGTAGCTGAAGGGACTTGTTTCTGTAAACTTGTTTCACCTTGACTTCCTGCCAGTAGGGCCCTCCGCGGGTAAACATGAAGTAACTGTACATCTGGTCCTTTCGCTGGATTAGATCTGTGTCCTCCTTGATATTCACCATCCAAGGCCGACCATCCCCCCGGACGCGGAGATAGAGTGTGTTGAACTGAGACCAATCATAAGACCTCTTCCTCTCAAAGGGGCCCTAAGGGACAGAAAGGGCTGTTTGTATCTTCTCATTTTACATTGTTAGCAAATTCATCAAATTAGCAACATCAAAAAGATCCAGTAGTGAGCAGGCAGGCAGGAGAGGTGGCTCAATGCTGCACCCATGTTTTGTGTGCTGGGGGCGGGGGTCTAATCCCCAGCATGTAGTCTTCTCAGCACCACCAGAAGCGACACCCCTAAGCAGAGTCAGGACTAACACCCCCTCCCCACCCCCTAACCCCCAACCCCCACCAAATGAAAGAAAGTAAAACCCATTAAGGACCAGGGAATTATTTCAATGGGCTGGAGCACCCGGGAGATCCAAGTTGATCCCCAACAGCGCTGGGTCCCTCAAGAAACCTCCAAGCACTGAGCCGGAACAGCCCCTGAGCACCACCCAGTATTGACCCCCAAAACCAAATGGAACATCCACCCGCAGGCTGGAGGGATGGCTCCAAGTTGGAATACATGTGCTGTGTGTGAGAGCCCAGAGCTTGATCCCAGCACACAACGGTTCCTGAGCACCACCTCGAGACACTCCCAAAACTACCTGCCAGGGAGTAGCTCTCAAGCATAGCCCAGTGTGGCCCAAAAAGGCTAAAAAAAAAAAAAAAATACATGAATCATTTTCTCCCATTTCTGACCACCACCAAAAGGTATCAGATAAATCTGGTGATACTTCTAGGACAAAATATTAACATAGGGCTGGGCAGATAGTGCAATGGGCAAGCGGCCATGTTTTGTGTATGGGGAGTCTAACTCAGTGCTTCGGTACATGGTTCCCTCCACCAGGCCCTCCAGACACCAAGTAGTAGCCGCTGAGCACTGCTAGGCATAACCTGAAAACAAAACCCCAAAAATACAATTATTTTTATTTTCTTTTTTGCTACCCCCACCTTCCTCAAGCCCCCTCTCCCCCTGGACATTGATGTTTCTGAGGTGAGGCTCAAGCCAGAACTGGACTGGAACAGTACTACACAGGGTAGGCACTCACATGGTCACATGGACACTCCTCAACAGTTTTGGTTTTTTTTTTTTTTGGTGGGGGGAGTCACACCCGGCGGTGTACAGGGGTTACTCCTGGCGGTGCTCGGGGGACCATATGGGATGCTGGGAATTGAACCCAGGTCAGCTGCATGCAAGGCAAATGCCGTACCTGCTGTGCTATTGCTCCAGCCCCATTCGTGTATTTCTGTCCTGCTCTGTGGGCCATAGCTTCTGAGAGGACAGCTCCTTCCAGTAGACCAGGAACACAACGAAGAGCTCAGTACAAACTGCTCTTTTCTAACAGCTCCCATCCACTGAGCCCTCACGAGGCATTCTGCATGCATATATACTTAATTTTAGATTTAGGGGCTACAACTGGCTGTGCTCAGGGCTGGTTCTGCACTCAGGGATCATTCTTATTGGTGCTTGGGGGACCACATGGGTGCCAGGAATTGAACACAGGTTGGCCGCATGCAAAGGCAAGTGCACTTGCTGCTGTACAATGGCTCCCGCTCATGCATACTTTAATTCTCAAAACAATCCTGAGTTGGTTCTTTCAAACAATGGCTAAATTCTGGTAGAGGGCAAATCCCAAATGAGCTTAGCACAACTTCTAGTACCAATGCACACTCACAACACCCAAGCGTGGGCTGAGGAGCTAGTGCAGTGGGCAGGAGCACACACTTCGTATGCAGGAGACGAGGCCTGCATTCCCAGCACTGCATGGGGTCTCTGAGCAGCAGCAGCTTCCGAGCCCCGAGCCCCGCTGCTTGTGGCCCTGAAACCAAAAAAGAAAGAAAAATGCCAGGGGATGGAGCAATAGCACAGTGGGTAAGCCTTGCATGCGGCTGACCCGGTTCAATTCCCAGCATCCCATATGGTCCCTTGAGCACCGCCAGGGGTAATTCCTGAGTGAAGAGCCAGGAGTAACCCCTGTGCATCGCCGGGTGTGACCCAAAAAGCAAAGGAAAAAAAAGGAAAAGAAAAATGCCAGGCTGAGCCCCTGGCCATTCCAGGGCCTGGACCCATGCTAAAGAGGACATTGTCTCCCCAGAACCTTTCCCCTGGCCCAGAGCCATGCCCCCTCTGAAGCCACGTCTTCCCCGAATTCCGGCTTCCCAATGTGCCCATGGCTACTGAATTCACACACAGAGGAGATACCTGGGATTCTCAGGCATCTCCAAAGGACAGGCAAAAGCTGTCTGCTCTCCCTGAGGCTCCACCAAAAGTCAGCCCAGCTGCCCCTGCCCCAGAGGTGGCTGCACCTCACCTACCCTCAGAGGCCTGGACATCATGGCGCAGTAGCCACTGCGGCTGCTCTCCCCGTCCAGAGGGGCCTCGGAGCTGAGGGTTCCATACACCAGCGCACTCTGGTTGTTCTTGCCCATCTTCAGGAACACTTCACTTCGGCCCCCAATTGTCTTATCGGAAGTCACGACCCACTTGTCCAAATCTTCTTTTCCTCGGAATTGCCACACTACCTTGGCTTGCTCCAGCAAGACCTCGTGCAGAGGTCGGCCCTCGGGCCCTATCCAGTGACTCACGATTTCATCCTTCAAACGCCAAAAATGGTCCTTTATTTCATCTTTAATGGCTTTATCGAAACTAATTTCTGGCTTCTCCTCTGGAGAAGTAATATCCAAAGCAGCTTCCCTTGGCCGGTGTCCTTGCAAACCCCCTTCAGCCATCCTCTGTCCTTGCAAACCCCCTTCAGTCGTCCTCTGCGCAGGGGCGCTGTCAGCAATGGTCACAGGTTTCTGACTGCTGCTGGTGCAATAGTCTGCAAAGCAGCTCCCCCTAAAAGGGTACCAGGCTACACCTGGTTTCAGGCATTTTCTGAGCCTGTAAGTTCCATTCAGCAATTTGTGAACCAAGGCCATGGTAAGTAAAAGTCAAAGTGTAAATTGCTCTGCAGGATTGGAGGAAAGAAGCTTCAGCAAATAGCTTGATACTGCCTATAACAGAAGAGACATTTAAACGTTACTGAAGTAGCAACTTTCTCTTAAGTTTCCTCTTAAACTTAAAAGTTTCCTCTGAAATTTCAAATGCTGTGAAATTCACATTGTGAAATCCATGAACTTAATTTCCAGTTCTATAAAATTTCACCCAGGGCCTACTATGAGGCTACTGTTTGCATTCTACATCATGATCGTGCACTGCATTGCCTTATGGAAAAATTCCAAGATGAAAGAGAAGCACAGACCCCTTCTTAGAGCTAATGAGCAACCCTGAATTAATGAAAAAGTGTGTGCTGAAAGCAACAAGGCAGGTTGAGTTCATTTGTTTTGCTTTTTTTTTGTTTCTGGGCCACACCTGCTGAACTCAGGGCTTACACCTGGCTCTGTGCTCAGATGTTACTCATGGCAGTGCTCATGGGGCCATATGGAGATCAAGCCCCAGTCAACTCTGAGGGAGACAAATACCCTATTCCTTGTATCATTCTGGCCCCTGGTTGAGTTTAAGGCATGAAGGAGAGCGGACAGCTTTTGTGTATCTGTTCAAGATGCCCCAAATTCCCAGGCATCTTATTGGTATGTGGAGCCAGGAAGAAGCGGGAGCTCAGAAGAGATGTGGCTTCTGGGGTTGTCCACCTAGTGGTGCTTGGGGGTTACTCCTACCAGCATTTAGAGGAACATCTGGTGTCAGGGATCAGACTGAGTTTGGCAGCCTATAAGGCAAGTGCCTTAACCCCTGTACTGTCTCTCCAGTCCCTAAAGCAAAATTTTTATTGCAATTTTATTCAATGTTTGGGGGAGGGGCCAACCAGGCAGTGCCTAAGGAATCTTCCAGTGAAGTTCAGGACCCATGCAATACTGGGGACCAAATTCAGGGTTTCCACATGCAAACATGCATCCAGCCCCTTGGGTGATCTCCCTTCTCCAACTCTCTTTAAAATCCTAATGCAGGGGCTGGAGAGATAGCACAGCGGATAGGGCATTTGCCTTGCACGCGGCCGACCCAGGGTCAATTCCCAGCATCCCATATGGTCCCCTGAGCACCACCAGGAGTAACTCCTGAGTGCAGAGCCAGGAGTAACCGCTGCGCATCGTCAGGTGTGACCCAAAAAGCAAAAAGAAAAAAAAAAAGGAATAAAATCCTAATGCAGGAGCCATAGATGCGTACATTGTGTATAAGGGCACTGAATTTGAGCCCTGAGCACTGAATGAGCGCTTGAGGACCACTAGGAGCAACCCCCAAGCACTGAAGCAGAAGTGCCACACACCACCAAACGTGACCTCCAAATGAAAAAAATCAGGTTAAAGAAAACACTGGGATAGCAGAAGTAGTACTGGGGTTATGAAGCTTGTCTTGTACTTGCTAACCCTGGTTTCATCCCTGGCACCACATGTGGCTTTCCCAAACATGGCCAGGGGCAGGAAGGGCACTGCCAGGTGTGTCACAATGTAAACAAAACTATTGATCAAAATCTGTAAATTTTGTTTAAATGGAGATTCTTTCTGCCTCCTTCCCCCCTTCTAACATATTATTACTCAGATGCTCCGTGGTCTCTCTTGGTGTGTTCCTTCCCTCTTTCTACGAGATGATTATGTCCACTGTACTCAGGACCAGAGATAATTAAGGCTCGTATATGCTTTCCCTGCAGGAGGTCAGGTTTGATACCCACTACAGCATGCTCCCTCCAGGAGGTAGCCCAAAGCATCACAGGGTATGGCCCCCAGAACAAACAAAAACCAACCAACTCAGGGGCCAGAGTGATAGCACAGAGGGTAGGGCATTTGCCTTGCATGCGGCCGACCTGGGTTCAATCCCCGGCATCCCATATGGTCCCCCCAAGCACCACCAGGAATAATTCCTGAGTGCAGAGCCAGGAATAACCCCTGAGCATCGCTGGGTGTGACCCAAAAAGAAAAACAGAAAAAAAAAAACCAACCAATTCAGTGACAGGCACATTTTTGACGGTCTCTGGCTAGAGGACACAGACACTCCCATATTCTTGTAAGAAATTACTTCTCCTACCCCTTCTGTAGGAGAATCTTATCTTTTGTATGACCTTAACATTAGGAACTAATACCTGAACATTAACGATGCTTGATAATAATTGCTGAATAGATGAAAAACCATGTAAACAGTTATGCTTCACTTGGACTGATAGTGGAAGCAAAACAGGAAATTATCCATATCTTGAAACTGACAAGTAATACTCAAATGTCATTCACTAATTGTGCTTGTTTCACCTCTACACAAATAGAAAAGTTGAAAATAGAAAAGTTAAGTCATGAAATGTAATAGTCATAAAAACAACGCTCATTATCCTCATACTCACGTTCCACTGATAAGAACAAATATGGAGGAATTAAAATTGCATATATACTAACATCACCTTAAAATGTACAGAACAAAAACATTTGGGGGGGAAAAAAACAAAAGTCGAGTGTATTCTATTTATGACGTCTATTGTTATGAGTACTATTCGTCTTTTTAATACCCAGGTCCTGCCGTATGTTCTCTAATAATATAACTGTTCTGTTTCTTATAAGCCAAATCGAACCAAAAATTGGATCGGCCCAAAGTTGACCGTGAGTTTGGACAATGCTACGAGGCAGTTAAGTAACCACCAGCTTAGTGGAGACGAATAAGGATGCGCGGGGTTTATCCCGTGCCAGAGACTGCTCTGACTGTTTTGGCTCCATAAATCCCCAAAATCCTGAGTTCCCACGGTTGCACTTACACCAACAAAGAATTTGTTGATTAAATTGCCAGAGGTCATCAGCTAAGAAATGTCAAGAGTCACTGGAAAGCGCCAGCGTTTGGCTCGCGACCCTATCCGCCCGGGTGGTCCGGGGCTTGCGGCCTTACCTCACCTGGCCGGGCCCGCCGCACTCCCGCGTCCGTGACGCACCAACCTCGGACGCGCGCACGAACCCCTGGCCGCCCCAACCCCAGCGCGGTTTCCGCCCGGGAGCGCCGCTTCTCCGCACCGGCTTCGCCACTTTCCCCGTGTAGGTCCATCTTTTTACCCGTCCGGCGCGAACCAGGCGTTAGCGCACTGAAGTTCCTACCCAGTGCGGAGTAACAGAGGTCCCGGAACCCGGTGTCCCGCAAGCTCAGACTTCTGGTCCACTAGTTGCCCCCAAAGCCTGCTTTCTACCCCTGCCTATTTTCTGTTCAGCGTGGGAGAATTTATGCAACCTCTGATCTTCTCCTGTCTGCACCATAACAATCGAAAGCCTCTTGAATCCCAGGCGCCTGGGCTCCCCGTTTCTTCTCCCGGCTGTTCCCCAAGAGCAATTATTCTTGGTCTCGGAGGACTGGCTCAGCGGGAATTTTGCTCGCAGAAGCACTGGAGCTCCACTGGCGCCACGGACGGTGAACTGTCCTGCGCTCCTTTCCCAACTCTGTCCTAGGGGCAGAGTCGGGTGGGTCTGCCTGCCCTACCCGGGGTTCTTTTGTACCCTGTGTGCTTATCACTTTAACTATATCTTAATTATTCATTCATGCGATGCTCCGGGACTATAAGCGATGCTGTGAATCGAACCCGCGCCGACCGCGTGCAAGACAGACACCCGACCCACTGAATAATCGCTCCTACCCGACATGGAGCTTTTTGAGCCGTTATCGAAGTGGTTCTTCTGGTCCCCAACACCTAGCCAGCAGGGATTGGCGGTCAGCAAGAATTTGAGGGAATTGTCATCCCTGGCAATAAACACTTTAAGTCCTCCCCAAAAACAATTCCTCACTAATTTTCTTCCCACCACCTCCTCCTTGAAACTCCACTTAGTCTTCTCGACACTTGCCCAGTTCTCCTGCCTCCTGGGCACTTACCTAGCAGCTTCCTTCACTTCCTCCCTTCTCCTCCCACAGTCTCTACAACCTGCACCTTCCTCTTTTCAAGTTTAACATGAATTACCTACAACGAGATCATCTCTCCCCCAAACCCTGCATACATTTCTAGCTTCTTGTGTATTTTTTATTTTTTTGGCCGATGGTGTGGGAGTGGGGCTACCAAGCAGTGTTCAGGGTAAGCGGAGCATCTGGGATGTACAACCGTTTAACACTAGGGCCACAGACATGGGGTACAGCTCCTGTCCAGAAGTACTAGGAGCCATCAGGGCAGTACTCAGCAGTGCTGGGGAGATTGAGGGGTTGCATGTGATTCTTGGGGTCCAACTTGAGGGCCTTGAACCCCTCAACAATCTCCTGGACGCCTCCAACCTCTTGATATCAATTCCAGCAGTAGGAGATTCACTAGTACTTCAAATGTCTCAAACGAAAGTTACCCTATTTACCTATATTAACTCCACCTATTTGGGGGGGTTTTGTTTGGGGCCACATTTGGTAGTGCTCAGGAACTATTCCTGGCTCTGTGTGTAGGGGTCACTCCTAGCAATGCTACCAAGCAGTGGTAGCATTTCCTTCCTCCGGGAAGGAAAAAAAATTCTGGTTGCCTACAGCTGAACTTTAACTTGAGAAAGAGACTATTTCAGCCAGTGATTTTCAACCTTGCTGCACCTGAAGACAAGGCCTGGGGCCTTAGGAATACTGAAACAGTGGAAATGCACTGATAAAGCACTGATAATTTGACTTTATCACCCATAGGTGTCCCTAATCCTAAACAATATATCCCTGGTTGTGCCATGATCTGAAGAGAAGGGGGGGGGGGGGGGAATTGGGCCACACACCTGCACCTGACATCACTTAGGGTCTATTCCTTGCTGTGTGCCCTGGTGTTATTCCTGGCTGTCCTCAGGGGAATATATGAAACAACAAAGATTGACAGCCATGTGCTCTGTACTATCTCCCCGGTTCCTGGAGAGACAGTACAGGGACAGAAGAGATGTATATATCTGAAGAGCTGGAAAGAAGTTTGACCACAAGCTATTTACTATTGAGCACTCGATATGTGATCAAATATGTGCACATTTAATTTAAATTTGGGGAGCACCCAAACTCAGCACTGCTCAAGGATCACTCCCTGAAGACTAGGGGAACCACATAGGTGTCAGGATTGAATTCAGGCATACCTTGTACTGGTATACCTTAACCGCAGTACTGTCTCTCTGACCCAACATTTCATTTAATTTTAATTAACTTAGGTCTAATTAGCCCCAGGTGGCTAGAGGCTGCCCTATGGGATGGAGCAGTCCTAGATAAGAGACTCTGAATTGCTCCTCAAACTGTCCAAATAACCAGGAAACAATAAACTTAACATGGGAACTAGGATTAAATCAAGTCTACATATTGCTACATATTAAGGCTTCGGAAGAGTCAGGTAATATTGGCTTCAGTGGTTTGGACCAGGAATTATTTGGTATTTTCTTTCTCATACTCTAAATATGGGATTCTTCATGATCTAGACCTCAAGGTTTTGTTTCTTTAGAGGTTTCACTCAGTTCTACAACTTTTGTCTTTTCTGCTTGTTTGTTTTTGTTTATGGGCCCCAACCAGTGGTGCCCAGGGCACACTTCTGGCTCTGTGCTCAGGGGATAATATATGGTGCTGGAGTTAGAAACTGCATCAGCTGTACACAAGCAAGTGACTTACCCATTCTACTATCTCATCGGCCTGCTTCTTTTCCTTATTTTGTCTTTATTTATTTGGCTTATTTGTTTGGGGGCTAAATCTGCCAGTGCTCAGGGTCACTCCCGATGGGGAACAGGGGACCATATGGGATGCTGGAGATTGGCCCTGGGCTGGCCATGTGCAAGGTAAGTTCCCTAATCACTATTGTCCTGACCCATTCTTTTTTAATTTTTTTTTATTTTTATTTTTTTGCTTTTTGGGTCACACCTGGCGATGCACGGGGGTTACTCCTGCCTCTGAACTGAGGAATTACTCCGGGCGGTGCTCATATGGCGGTGACCATATGGGATGCTGGAAATCGAACCCGGGTTGGCCGTGTGCAAGGCAAACACCCTACCCGCTGTGCTATTGCTCCAGCCCCTCTTTTCCTTTTTTAAAAGGCTCTGACTTCCCCTGAAAATTTGTATGGTCTCCCAAATTGTGTTATTTGTGATCAGGTTAAACCAATGTTTTTGTTTGGGATTTGGGGTTGTTGGTTTGTTTTTTTTGGGGGGGGGTTGGGGGGTGGGGGCACTCAACCAGCTCTGAATTCAGCCCATTGAGCTTTCTCTCCTAGCTTATTTTTTTTAATTTTTATTTATTTATTTTGCTTTTTGGGTCACACCTCTCAATTTTCTGCAGAAATTACTCCTGGCAGTGCTAGGGGGATCATATGAAATGTCGAGGATCAAACCCTGGGTTGGCCATGTGTAAAGCAAACACCCTACCTGGCCCCACAAGTTTACAATTTTGTGTTGTTTTTGAGCCACACCCAGTGTTACTCAGGGCTTACTCCTGACTGTGATCAAGGATCGCTCCTAGCAAACTCTGAGGGCCATATGGGGTTCTTGGGGGCCACCAAGACTGAATCTGTAGGAAACATTCATTGCCGAGCATCAAACTTAGGACCTTTAACATGTGCTCTGGGGCTGCAGCGATAGCACAGCGGGTAGGGCATTTACCTTGCACACGGCCGACCCCCAGGTTTGCATCCCATATGGTCCCCTCAGCACCGCCAGGAGTAATTTCTGAGTGCATGAGCCAGGAGTGTGCATCGCCGGATGTGACCCAAGAAGAAAAAAAAAGTGCTCTAATTATGTGCTTTAACATTTGAGTCATCTCCCCAACCCCAAATAGTAGATATCTGAATGTGTGTGAAGTGTATCTCATTGCAGTTTTTTTTTCTTTTTAGATTATACCCGGAGATGCTCAGGGGTTACTCTTGGCTCTGCTCTCAGGAATTATTCCTGGCAGTGCTCGAGGGCCTATGTGGGATGCCTAGGATTGAACACGGGTTGGCCCCATACAAGACAAATGCCCTACCCACTGTACTACTGCTCAGGCACATTCCCCACTGCCCCCTCCCCGGCTTTTTTTCTCTCATTGAGGTTTTTATTTCTATTTTCCTATTCATTAGTAGTTTGCTTTTTCTATTTTAGGTCCTGTGCTCAGGATTGTTACTGGCAGTGCTCAGGAGACTATGTGGTTTTAAGAATCAAACCCAGCCTGTTGCATGTAAAACCCATTGACCTCTCTCTTCAGCCACTAGTCTCCTTTATTTTATGTGCTGGGGAATGAACCCATTCACCGAAAATGTGCAGTTTCCCACAGAGCCATATCCTCAGCCTTTCTCTAGGTATGGGAAATCCTACGTGTGCTTATTAACAAAGGGGAAAGGCAGCTGAAGGATGGGCAATAGTTTAAATCTGGAAGGAGGAATAATGGCCAGAGAGACATACAGGAGTTAAGTCACTTGCCTTGTATTCAGCCTATCCAGGCGCAATTCCTGGCACCTCCCGGAGTTACCCCAAGCACAGAGCCAGGAGCTTCTCCCATACCACTGCATGTGTCCCAAAAAATAAACAGGGGTGACGAAAAGAAGAAATAATATGAGAATGGCAGGCAGGCCCAAGAGAGGAGGGAGGCGCTAGGGAGGAAAATAAGGCCCCAGGGCTGGGGCAAGTGATTAGGTGGCTGACTCGCCAGATGTGTCTATTTTTCCCCCCCTTAAATGTCCAAGTAGGGGTTTTGACAAAGATTTGACTCTAGCTTTGGTCATAACAAAACCGAAACATGCATGAATTAGAAGTGGTGACGGTAGCGGCAGTCTATTTGTACATAGGGTGGCCAAACACCCCCAAATGACTGAAATGACAAAGGGGGATTGGTGAGGGAGATTCAGAGTAGCCTCCTACAAAGAGGCCCCCTTGTTCTAAATAAAAGACTGAAAGTAGCAAGGATAAGGCCTACAACAGAGATGTCGCAGTGCTTCAGACACCGAGTAACGCCTTGGGCAGCTTCTGCAGTAGAGGAAACAAAGGAAGGTGGAGAGGATGCAAGACCTGGACAAACTGGGCAGTCAGCAGGACCTTGCTGTAGCTTCCAGTTACTACTAAATAGGATAA